ACAGGATCACACACACACACACACACAGCTCCACAGGATCACACACACACAGCTCCACAGGATCACACACACACACAGCTCCACAGGATCACACACACACACACACACACACACAGCTCCACAGGATCACACACACACACACACACAGCTCCACAGGATCACACACACACACACACACAGCTCCACAGGATCACACACACAGCTCCACAGGATCACACACACACAGCTCCACAGGATCACACACACACACACACACAGCTCCACAGGATCACACACACAGCTCCACAGGATCACACACACACACACACACAGCTCCACAGGATCACACACACAGCTCCACAGGATCACACACACACAGCTCCACAGGATCACACACACACACACACACACACACAGCTCCACAGGATCACACACACACACACACACAGCTCCACAGGATCACACACACACACACACACAGCTCCACAGGATCACACACACAGCTCCACAGGATCACACACACACACACACACACACACAGCTCCACAGGATCACACACACACACACACACAGCTCCACAGGATCACACACACAGCTCCACAGGATCACACACACACACACACACACACACAGCTCCACAGGATCACACACATACACACAGACCCAGGGGAAACTGAGGTGGAAACATCGCCTCCTCATTAGCTGAAAAATCATTACTCTCCTGCGCGCTAAGCTAGCTTCATCCCCATAAATACAGAAGAAGAGCCGCATCTGGAGGAGGGTTTCTGCACGAGTCAGATATGACCAGGACCCAAACAGCACAACACAGAACCACAGCAGAACACACAACAGCACAACACAGAACCACAGCAGAACACAGAACCACAGCAGAACACACAACAGCACAACACAGAACCACAGCAGAACACACAACAGCACAACACACAACAGCACAACACAGAACCACAGCAGAACACACAACAGCACAACACACAACAGCACAACACAGAACCACAGCAGAACACACAACAGCACAACACAGAACCACAGCAGAACACACAACAGCACAACACAGAACCACAGCAGAACACACAACAGCACAACACACAACAGCACAACACAGAACCACAGCAGAACACACAACAGCACAACACAGAACCACAGCAGAACACACAACAGCACAACACAGAACCACAGCAGAACACACAACAGCACAACACACAACAGCACAACACAGAACCACAGCAGAACACACAACAGCACAACACAGAACCACAGCAGAACACACACAGGAGCAGAACACACACAGGAGCAGAACACACACACAGGAGCAGAACACACAGGAGCAGAACACACACAGGAGGAGAACACACAGGAGCAGAACACACACACAGGAGCAGAACACACACAGGAGGAGAACACACACAGGAGCAGAACACACACAGGAGCAGAACACACACAGGAGGAGAACACACAGGAGGAGAACACACACAGGAGCAGAACACACACAGGAGCAGAACACACACAGGAGCAGAACACACACAGGAGCAGAACACACACAGGAGCAGAACACACACAGGAGCAGAACACACACAGGAGCAGAACACACACAGGAGCAGAACACACACAGGAGCAGAACACACACAGGAGGAGAACACACACAGGAGCAGAACACACAGGAGGAGAACACACACAGGAGGAGAACACACACACAGGAGGAGAACACACACACAGGAGCAGAACACACACAGGAGCAGAACACACACAGGAGCAGAACACACACAGGAGCAGAACACACACAGGAGCAGAACACACACAGGAGGAGAACACACAGGAGGAGAACACACACACAGGAGCAGAACACACACAGGAGCAGAACACACACAGGAGCAGAACACACACAGGAGCAGAACACACACACAGGAGGAGAACACACAGGAGCAGAACACACACAGGAGGAGAACACACAGGAGGAGAACACACACACAGGAGCAGAACACACACAGGAGCAGAACACACACAGGAGGAGAACACACACAGGAGCAGAACACACAGGAGGAGAACACACACAGGAGGAGAACACACACACAGGAGGAGAACACACACACAGGAGCAGAACACACACAGGAGCAGAACACACACAGGAGCAGAACACACACAGGAGCAGAACACACACAGGAGCAGAACACACACAGGAGCAGAACACACACAGGAGCAGAACACACACAGGAGCAGAACACACACAGGAGCAGAACACACACAGGAGCAGAACACACACACAGGAGGAGAACACACACACAGGAGGAGAACACACACACAGGAGCAGAACACACACAGGAGCAGAACACACACAGGAGCAGAACACACACAGGAGCAGAACACACACAGGAGCAGAACACACACAGGAGCAGAACACACACAGGAGCAGAACACACACAGGAGCAGAACACACACAGGAGCAGAACACACACAGGAGCAGAACACACACAGGAGGAGAGAACACACACAGGAGCAGAACACACAGGAGGAGAACACACACAGGAGGAGAACACACACACAGGAGGAGAACACACACACAGGAGCAGAACACACACAGGAGCAGAACACACACAGGAGCAGAACACACACAGGAGCAGAACACACACAGGAGCAGAACACACACAGGAGCAGAACACACACAGGAGCAGAACACACACAGGAGCAGAACACACACACAGGAGCAGAACACACACAGGAGCAGAACACACACAGGAGCAGAACACACACAGGAGCAGAACACACACAGGAGCAGAACACACACAGGAGCAGAACACACACACAGGAGCAGAACACACAGGAGGAGAACACACACAGGAGGAGAACACACACAGGAGCAGAACACACACACAGGAGCAGAACACACACAGGAGCAGAACACACACAGGAGCAGAACACACACACAGGAGCAGAACACACAGGAGCAGAACACACACACAGGAGGAGAACACACACAGGAGCAGAACACACACAGGAGCAGAACACACACACAGGAGCAGAACACACACAGGAGCAGAACACACACTGGAGCAGAACACACACACAGGAGCAGAACACACACAGGAGCAGAACACACACAGGAGCAGAACACACACACAGGAGGAGAACACACACACAGGAGCAGAACACACACAGGAGCAGAACACACAGGAGCAGAACACACACAGGAGGAGAACACACACACAGGAGCAGAACACACAGGAGCAGAACACACACAGGAGCAGAACACACACAGGAGCAGAACACACACACAGGAGGAGAACACACACACAGGAGCAGAACACACAGGAGCAGAACACACACAGGAGCAGAACACACACAGGAGCAGAACACACACAGGAGCAGAACACACAGGAGCAGAACACACACAGGAGCAGAACACACACAGGAGGAGAACACACACACAGGAGCAGAACACACACAGGAGCAGAACACACACACAGGAGGAGAACACACAGGAGGAGAACACACACAGGAGCAGAACACACACACAGGAGCAGAACACACACAGGAGCAGAACACACACAGGAGGAGAACACACACACAGGAGCAGAACACACACAGGAGGAGAACACACACACAGGAGCAGAACACACACAGGAGCAGAACACACACAGGAGCAGAACACACACAGGAGCAGAACACACACTGTGGCTGCAGCAGAGCGTGATCCTGAGATGAACAGTTTCCGTACCTTCCCATGTGTCCATGTCCTGCCTGTCGCAGCTCGGCCCCATTCATGCATGGACTGTTACAGTGAAGGGCCTGCTCATGCTCTCTCCTTCTCTCCCTCCACACTCCCTCTCCCTCGGCTGCCGGCTCCTGACTGACCGGCCCCTCACCGGTCACTCTGCTGCTGCTGCCTCTGGTCATGTGATCTGCAGAGTTCAGGCCCCCGGGGGTCAGTGCACGGCTGGAGGTCCAATGACAGGCCGGGGTTATCTGAGTGGAACTGATAGTCCTATTTTCACTGCAGCTCAACAATGCCCAAAGGCCCCACCCTCACAACCCCCCCCCCCCACACACACACACACACACACACACACACACACACACACACACAAACACCTAACCCCCTCCCCCTCCCCACCCCCCACAAACACCCCCACCCTCTGTCTTTAGCCAAATTAGCTCAGCTCCTATTCTACACAACACTGCAGCCATTCTACTGTCCTCAGGCTACAGAGACCAGAGAGAGACCAGAGAGAGACCAGAGAGAGACCAGAGAGACCAGAGAGAGACCAGAGAGACCAGAGAGAGACCAGAGAGAGACCAGAGAGACCAGAGAGAGACCAGAGAGAGACCAGAGAGAGACCAGAGAGAGACCAGAGAGAGACCACAGAGAGACCAGAGAGAGACCAGAGAGAGACCAGAGAGAGAGCCCAGAGAGAGAGCCCAGAGAGACCAGAGAGAGACCAGAGAGAGACCAGAGAGAGACCAGAGAGAGCCCAGAGAGAGCCCAGAGAGAGCCCAGAGAAAGACCAGAGAGAGACCACAGAGAGACCAGAGAGAGACCAGAGAGAGACCAGAGAGAGAGCCCAGAGAGAGAGCCCAGAGAGACCAGAGAGAGACCAGAGAGAGACCAGAGAGAGACCAGAGAGAGCCCAGAGAGAGACCAGAGAGAGACCAGAGAGAGACCAGAGAGAGACCAGAGAGAGACCAGAGAGAGACCAGAGAGAGACCAGAGAGAGACCAGAGAGAGACCAGAGAGAGACCAGAGAGAGACCAGAGAGAGACCAGAGAGAGACCAGAGAGAGACCAGAGAGAGACCACAGAGAGACCAGAGAGAGACCAGAGAGAGACCAGAGAGAGACCAGAGAGAGACCAGAGAGAGACTACAGAGAGAGACCAGAGAGAGACCAGAGAGAGACCAGAGAGAGACCAGAGAGGGACCAGAGAGAGACCAGAGAGAGACCAGAGAGAGAGACCAGAGAGAGAGACCAGAGAGAGACCAGAGAGAGACCAGAGAGAGACCAGAGAGAGACCAGAGAGAGACTACAGAGAGAGACCAGAGAGAGACCAGAGAGAGACCAGAGAGAGACCAGAGAGGGACCAGAGAGAGACCAGAGAGAGACCAGTGAGAGAGACCAGAGAGAGACCAGTGAGAGACCAGAGAGACACCAGAGAGAGACCAGAGAGAGACCAGTGAGAGAGACCAGAGAGAGACCAGTGAGAGAGACCAGTGAGGACACCATATGGAAGGACCACGGCAAAGCCACTGTGGTCCAGGAAATTACAATCTCAGTGTTAGACAGGAGTCACACCTTTCAATCAGACTGAATGTGTTTGTGTCAGATCCAGATAAAAACACCGCTCACACCGTTCCATCCAAATAAATACAACCATTATCGTTACCATGGAAACAACCGCCACAGAAGACCCTCAGGCCTCAACAACTGGCTCCTCCTGGTCCCTGAGGCTGGTGTGTGTTCCACCTGGTGTGTGTGTGTGTCTGCGTGTGTGTGTGTGCGTGGCTGTTTGTGTGTGTGTACGTGTGTGCGTGGCTGTTTGTGTGTGTGTGTGTGTGTACGTGTGTGAGTGTGTGTGTCTGCGTGTGTGTGTACGTGTGTGTGCGTGGCTGTTTGTGTTTGTGTTGCTGTTTGTGTTGCTGTGCTTCCAGATGTGTGTATTTTGCATCTACAGCTGCTTTGAACATGTAACTGTGTCATAAATGTGTGTGACCTCCTGTAGAGCTGACACACAACAGCCTCAGGGACCAGGTGGACACACACACACCAGGAGGAACACACAACAGCCTCAGGGACCAGGTGGACACACACACACCAGGGGGAACACACAACAGTCTGTGGGACCAGGAGGACACACACACCAGGTGGAACACACAACAGCCTCAGGGACCAGGTGGAACACACAACAGCCTCAGGGACCAGGTGGAACACACAACAGTCTGTGGGACCAGGAGGACACACACACCAGGTGGAACACACAACAGCCTCAGGGACCAGGTGGACACACGCACACACACACACACACAAAGCTGAGGTTTTGAGCTTTAACAAAATCTCACATTGATTGTTTGGTGAATGCTGAGGCGGCACATCCCAGACCTGCAGCCCCCCCCCCTGTGCCCCCCCCTCTCTTACTGAGCCCCCCCCCCCCCCCCCCCCCCCCTCCCCCCGCCCTCTCACTGACCCCCCCGCACCACTTCCATTAGGCCTAAACTGCCCTGACCCTGAGAGCGATGACGTCATGAGAACAACTGTATCTGTGATAAACCAATCAGCTTTATCAGGAGGCACTGAGGAGGCCCTGAGGAGGAAGAGGAGGAAGAGGCACTGAGGAGGCCCTGAGGAGGAAGAGGAGGAGGAGGCACTGAGGAGGCCCTGAGGAGGAAGAGGAGGAGGAGGCACTGAGGAGGCCCTGAGGAGGAAGAGGAGGAAGAGGCACTGAGGAGGCCCTGAGGAGGAAGAGGAGGAGGAGGCACTGAGGAGGCCCTGAGGAGGCCCTGAGGAGGAAGAGGAGGAAGAGGCACTGAGGAGGCCCTGAGGAGGAAGAGGAGGAGGAGGCACTGAGGAGGCCCTGAGGAGGCCCTGAGGAGGAAGAGGAGGAAGAGGCACTGAGGAGGCCCTGAGGAGGAAGAGGAGGAAGAGGCACTGAGGAGGCCCTGAGGAGGAAGAGGAGGAGGAGGCACTGAGGAGGCCCTGAGGAGGCCCTGAGGAGGAAGAGGAGGAAGAGGCACTGAGGAGGCCCTGAGGAGGAAGAGGAGGAGGAGGCACTGAGGAGGCCCTGAGGAGGCCCTGAGGAGGAAGAGGAGGAAGAGGCACTGAGGAGGCCCTGAGGAGGAAGAGGAGGAGGAGGCACTGAGGAGGCCCTGAGGAGGCCCTGAGGAGGCACTGAGGAGGCACTGAGGAGGAAGAGGAGGAGGCACTGAGGAGGCCCTGAGGAGGAAGAGGAGGAGGAGGCACTGAGGAGGAAGAGGAGGAGGAGGCACTGAGGAGGAAGAGGAGGAGGAGGCACTGAGGAGGAAGAGGAGGAGGAGGCCCTGAGGAGGAAGAGGAGGATACACGGAGGAAGAGGAGGAAGCACTGAGAATATACACATACTACTGTGTACATGTACACACCACTGTGTACATGTACACACCACTGTAAATAAAGCTTACTTACTTACTGTATACATGTACACATCACTGTATACATGTACACATCACTGTATACATGTACACACTACTGTATACATGTACACATCACTGTATACATGTACACATCACTGTATACATGTACACATCACTGTATACATGTACACACTACTGTATACATGTACACACTACTGTATACATGTACACATCACTGTATACATGTACACATCACTGTATACATGTACACACTACTGTATACATGTACACACTACTGTATACATGTACACATCACTGTATACATGTACACATCACTGTATACATGTACACATCACTGTATACATGTACACATCACTGTATACATGTACACATCACTGTATACATGTACACATCACTGTATACATGTACACACTACTGTATACATGTACACATCACTGTATACATGTACACACTACTGTATACATGTACACACTACTGTATACATGTACACACTACTGTATACATGTACACACTACTGTATACATGTACACATCACTGTTAGGCCTGTCACGATTAAACATTTTGCTGGACAATAAATAGTCTCAGAAATGATTGCAATAATATTGTTCTGAGACAATTTTCATCTAAAACAAAGATAACGATGAAGTCACCTTTTCAAAGAGAAATACACTTTTATTTTTAAAGACCACCGCCAGAAGTTTGTGTAAAGTTCTTGCGAATAATGCAGCTCTGCAGCGTCTCTTTGTCCAGAGACTATATATAACAGCAGTATGTGTTCACGGTGACTTTATATAACAGCAGTATGTGTTCACGGAGGTGACTTTATATAACAGCAGTATGTGTTCACGGTGACTTTATATAACAGCAGTATGTGTTCACGGAGGTGACTTTATATAACAGCAGTATGTGTTCACGGTGACTTTATATAACAGCAGTATGTGTTCACGGTGACTTTATATAACAGCAGTATGTGTTCACGGTGACTTTATATAACAGCAGTATGTGTTCACGGTGACTTTATATAACAGTAGTATGTGTTCACGGTGACTTTATATAACAGCAGTATGTGTTCACGGTGACTTCATATAACAGCAGTATGTGTTCACGGTGACATTATATAACAGCAGTATGTGTTCACGGTGACTTTATATAACAGCAGTATGTGTTCACGGTGACTTTATATAACAGCAGTATGTGTTCACGGTGACTTTATATAACAGCAGTATGTGTTCACGGAGGTGACTTTATATAACAGCAGTATGTGTTCACGCAGGTGACTTTATATAACAGCAGTATGTGTTCACGGTGACTTTATATAACAGTAGTATGTGTTCACGGTGAATGTGACTTTATATAACAGCAGTATGTGTTCACGGAGGTGACCATATATAACAGCAGTATGTGTTCACAGAGGTAACTTTATATAACAGCAGTATGTGTTCACGGAGGTGACTTTATATAACAGCAGTATGTGTTCACGGTGACTTTATATAACAGCAGTATGTGTTCACGGTGACTTTATATAACAGTAGTATGTGTTCACGGTGACTTTATATAACAGCAGTATGTGTTCACGGTGACTTTATATAACAGCAGTATGTGTTCACGGTGACTTTATATAACAGCAGTATGTGTTCACGGAGGTGACTTTATATAACAGCAGTATGTGTTCACGGAGGTGACTTTATATAACAGCAGTATGTGTTCACGGAGGTGACTTTATGTAACAGCAGTATGTGTTCACGGAGGTGACTTTATACAACAGCAGTATGTGTTCACGGAGGTGACTTTATATAACAGCAGTATGTGTTCACTGAGGTGACTTTATATAACAGCAGTATGTGTTCACGGAGGTGACTTTATATGACAGCAGTATGTGTTCACGGAGGTGACTTTATATAACAGCAGTATGTGTTCACAGAGGTAACTTTATATAACAGCAGTATGTGTTCACGGAGGTAACTTTATATAACAGCAGTATGTGTTCACGCAGGTGACTTTATATAACAGCAGCATGTGTTCACGCAGGTGACTTTATATAACAGTAGTATGTGTTCACGGAGGTGACTTTATATAACAGCAGTATGTGTTCACAGAGGTGACTTTATATAACAGCAGTATGTGTTCACGGTGACTTTATATAACAGCAGTATGTGTTCACGGAGGTGACTTTATATAACAGCAGTATGTGTTCACGGAGGTGACTTTATATAACAGCAGTATGTGTTCACGGAGGTGACTTTATATAACAGCAGTATGTGTTCACAGAGGTAACTTTATATAACAGCAGTATGTGTTCACGCAGGTGACTTTATATAACTTATATAACAGCAGTATGTGTTCACGGTGACATTATATAACAGCAGTATGTGTTCACGGTGACTTTATATAACAGCAGTATGCGTTCACGGTGACTTTATATAACAGCAGTATGTGTTCACGGTGACTTTATATAACAGCAGTATGTGTTCACGGAGGTGACTTTATATAACAGCAGTATGTGTTCACGGAGGTGACTTTATATAACAGCAGTATGTGTTCACGGAGGTGACTTTATATAACAGCAGTATGTGTTCACGGAGGTGACTTTATATAACAGCAGTATGTGTTCACGGAGGTGACTTTATATAACAGCAGTATGTGTTCACAGATGTGACTTTATATAACAGCAGTATGTGTTCACAGAGGTAACTTTATATAACAGCAGTATGTGTTCACGGAGGTGACTTTATATAACAGTAGTATGTGTTCACGGTGACTTTATATAACAGCAGTATGTGTTCACGGTGACTTTATATAACAGCAGTATGTGTTCACGGCGACTTTATATAACAGCAGTATGTGTTCACAGAGGTAACTTTATATAACAGCAGTATGTGTGCACGGAGGTGACTTTATATAACAGTAGTATGTGTTCACGGTGACTTTATATAACAGCAGTATGTGTTCACAGTGACTTTATATAACAGCAGTATGTGTTCACGGTGACTTTATATAACAGCAGTATGTGTTCACGGAGGTGACTTTATATAACAGCAGTATGTGTTCACGGAGGTGACTTTATATAACAGCAGTATGTGTTCACGGAGGTGCGCCATACGTTTATTTTATTATTAAACAGTACTTCTGCATTGACGAACAACTGCTGTGTCCCCTGTTTTCAGTCCTGGTTTAGTCCTGGTTTAGTCCTGGTTTAGTCCTGGTTTAGTCCTGGTTTAGTCCTGGTTTAGTCCTGGTTTGGCTGTATTTTTGAGTTACTTCAGTCTGCTCGCTAGACGCTAAAGACCACTTTGCGGCTCTCTGACGAGAGAATGAGAGAGACGAGAGAGACGAGAGAGACGAGAGAGAGAGAGAGAGAGAGAGACGAGAGAGACGAGAGAGACGAGAGAGAGAGAGAGAGAGAAAGACGAGAGAGACAGAGACAGAGACCGAGAGAGAGAGACGAGAGAGACGAGAGAGAGAGAGAGAGACGAGAGAGACGAGAGAGAGAGAGAGAGAGACGAGAGAGAGAGAGAGAGACGAGAGAGACGAGAGAGACGAGAGAGAGAGAGAGAGACGAGAGAGACGAGAGAGAGAGAGAGACGAGAGAGACGAGAGAGAGAGAGAGAGACGACGAGAGAGAGAGAGAGAGACGAGAGAGACGAGAGAGAGAGACGAGAGAGAGAGACGAGAGAGAGAGAGAGAGAGAGAGAGAGACGAGAGAGAGAGACGAGAGAGAGAGAGAGACGAGAGAGACGAGAGAGAGAGAGAGAGAGAGAGAGAGAGAGAGAGAGAGAGAGAGAGAGAGAGACGAGAGAGAGAGAGAGAGAGAGAGAGACGAGAGAGAGAGAGAGAGAGAGAGAGAGACGAGAGAGACGAGAGAGACGAGAGAGGGGCCAGGAAAACTATCGAGCTAATTTTAATTATCCTGCAATTAATTGATTTATTGAATTTCGTGGCAGGCCTAACCACTGTGTACATGTACACACTACTGCATACATATACATACTACTGTGTACATGTACATACTACTGTGTACATGTACGTACTACTGTGTAAGCAAAGGAAGGTTTCTCACCCATCATCTGTACTTCTTAGCAAGTTTTCCTGACGTTTCGTCCTCAACCTGGGGACTTGTCCTCAACTGGGGACGAAACGTCGGGACGAAACGTCGGGAAAACTTGCTAAGAAGTACAGATGATGGGTGAGAAACCTTCCTTTGCTTTGACTAATCCCTGTACGACTGAGGGCTTACACAAACGTACTACTGTGTACATGTACGTACTACTGTGTACATGTACGTACTACTGTGTACATGTACATACTACTGTGTACATGTACATACTACTGCATACATATACATACTACTGTGTACATGTACGTACTACTGTGTACATGTACATACTACTGTGTACATGTACGTACTACTGCATACATATACATACTACTGTGTACATGTACATACTACTGCATACATATACATACTACTGTGTACATGTACATACTACTGTGTACATGTACGTACTACTGCATACATATACATACTACTGTGTACATGTACATACTACTGCATACATATACATACTACTGCATACATATACATACTACTGTATATATGTACATACTACTGCGTACATGTACATACTACTGCATACATATACATACTACTGCATACATATACATACTACTGTATATATGTACATACTACTGCGTACATGTACATACTACTGCATACATGTACATACTACTGTATATATGTACATACTACTGCGTACATGTACATACTACTGCATACATGTACATACTACTGCGTACATGTACATACTACTGCATACATGTACATACTACTGTATATATGTACATACTACTGCGGACATGTACATACTACTGCATACATGTACATGTGATATTTCATGACACTGAAGTTACTACGGTCATATTTTCACGTGACTCTGAGCAGTAGTTTTTCACTTGTCTGTTCTAACACCAAATGCATTCTGGGAAACTGTGTCCGTGTCTTGTCTCGACCATGAAGCTCCACCGAGGGAGGTGTCCAGGGTTAGAACCATGACCCACGGTCAGAACATCCCTCTGGGGCCACCGAGGGAGGTGTCCAGGGTTAGAACCATGACCCACGGTCAGAACATCCCTCTGGGGCCACCGAGGGAGGTGTCCAGGGTTAGAACCATGACCCACGGTCAGAACATCCCTCTGGGGCCACCGAGGGAGGTGTCCAGGGTTAGAACCATGACCCACGGTCAGAACATCCCTCTGGGGCCACCGAGGGAGGTGTCCAGGGTTAGAACCATGACCCACGGTCAGAACATCCCTCTGGGGCCACCGAGGGAGGTGTCCAGGGTTAGAACCATGACCCACGGTCAGAACATCCCTCTGGGGCCACCGAGGGAGGTGTCCAGGGTTAGAACCATGACCCACGGTCAGAACATCCCTCTGGGGCCACCGAGGGAGGTGTCCAGGGTTAGAACCATGACCCACGGTCAGAACATCCCTCTGGGGCCACCGAGGGAGGTGTCCAGGGTTAGAACCATGACCCACGGTCAGAACATCCCTCTGGGGCCACCGAGGGAGGTGTCCAGGGTTAGAACCATGACCCACGGTCAGAACATCCCTCTGGGGCCACCGAGGGAGGTGTCCAGGGTTAGAACCATGACCCACGGTCAGAACATCCCTCTGGGGCCACCGCGGTTCACTTGACCCTGGACCTGGCCCTCGTCTCCCCTTAAGACCACCTCAGCCCTGCTCCACCTACTCATGTTATCCCTGCAGCACCAGGACCCCCACCCTCCCCCGTGGCTCCAGCCCCCGGCCCCCGGCCCCCACACCCATCGATGCTAATGCCCCGGCCACACTAAGTCACATAAGTATCTTTTGACATTCAAAGGCGAGGTCCACATGCGATTGTTATTGAGATGGGAATGCTAACTTAGAAATGCTAACTTGGAAAGACTAAAAAGGGCATGCTAACGAGGGCATGCTAACGAGGGCATGCTAACGAGGGCATGCTAACGAGGGCATGCTAACGAGGGCGGTCTGAAGGCCACACGGAGCATAAAGCAGTCACTGAAAAGGAAGCGGGATCATGGAAATGCAGCGACGGGAGCGGGGCTTAAGCTCCGAGGTGGCGGAGCAGACGGATGATCAAAGGGTCTGTACCTTTGCACTAATACCATAAGAGCGCTACCATAAGAGCGCTACCATATGTCAGCCTCAGAGGATTATGGGAAAGGATCAAGACACGCACCTGAAGCGCTTTTACACGGATCTGAGCATTAGTCCAACGAGCAAAGTATTAAAACAAGACATTTCCAAGTATTTACACACACTCCACACATGTCCTGGGTCTACGGCCTCGGTCCTGGGTCTACAGCCTCAGTCCTGGGTCTAGAGCCTCAGTCCTGGGTCTACAGCCTCAGTCCTGGGTCTACAACCTCAGTCCTGGGTCTACAGCCTCAGTCCTGGGTCTAGAGCCTCAGTCCTGGGTCTACAGCCTCAGTCCTGGGTCTACAGCCTCAGTCCTGGGTCTACAGCCTCAGTCCTGGGTCTACAGCCTCAGTCCTGGGTCTACAGCCTCAGTCCTGGGTCTACGGCCTCGGTCCTGGGTCTACAGCCTCAGTCCTGGGTCTACAGCCTCAGTCCTGGGTCTACAGCCTCAGTCCTGGGTCTACAGCCTCAGTCCTGGGTCTACGGCCTCGGTCCTGGGTCTACGGCCTCGGTCCTGGGTCTACAGCCTCAGTCCTGGGTCTACAGCCTCAGTCCTGGGTCTACGGCCTCGGTCCTGGATCTACAGCCTCAGTCCTGGGTCTACGGCCTCAGTCCTGGGTCTACAGTCTCAGTCCTGGGTCTACAGCCTCAGTCCTGGATCTACAGCCTCAGTCCTGGGTCTACAACCTCAGTCCTGGGTCTACGGCCTCGGTCCTGGGTCTACGGCCTCGGTCCTGGGTCTACGGCCTCGGTCCTGGGTCTACAGCCTCAGTCCTGGGTCTACAGCCTCAGTCCTGGGTCTACGGCCTCAGTCCTGGGTCTACAGTCTCAGTCCTGGGTCTACAGCCTCAGTCCTGGATCTACAGCCTCAGTCCTGGGTCTACAGCCTCAGTCCTGGGTCTACAGTCTCAGTCCTGGGTCTACAGCCTCAGTCCTGGATCTACAGCCTCAGTCCTGGGTCTACAGCCTCAGTCCTGGGTCTACAGCCTCAGTCCTGGGTCTACAGCCTCAGTCCTGGGTCTACGGCCTCAGTCCTGGATCTACAGCCTCAGTCCTGGGTCTACAGCCTCAGTCCTGGATCTACAGCCTCAGTCCTGGGTCTACGGCCTCAGTCCTGGGTCTACAGCCTCAGTCCTGGGTCTACAGCCTCAGTCCTGGGTCTACAGCCTCAGTCCTGGGTCTACGGCCTCAGTCCTGGGTCTACGGCCTCAGTCCTGGGTCTACAGCCTCAGTCCTGGGTCTACGGCCTCGGTCCTGGGTCTACGGCCTCGGTCCTGGGTCTACAGCCTCGGTCCTGGGTCTGCAGTCTCGGTCCTGGGTCTGCAGCCTCAGTCCTGGGTCTACAGCCTCAGTCCTGGGTCTACGGCCTCGGTCCTGGGTCTACGGCCTCAGTCCTGGGTCTACGGCCTCGGTCCTAGGTCTACGGCCTCAGTCCTGGGTCTACGGCCTCGGTCCTGGGTCTACAGCCTCAGTCCTGGGTCTACGAACTCAGTCCTGGGTCTACAGCCTCGGCCCTGGGTCTACGGCCTCGGTCCTGGGTCTACAGCCTCAGTCCTGGGTCTACGGCCTCAGTCCTGGGTCTACAGCCTCAGTCCTGGGTCTACAGCCTCGGTCCTGGGTCTACAGTCTCAGTCCTGGGTCTACAGCCTCAGTCCTGGGTCTACAGTCTCAGTCCTGGGTCTACAGCCTCAGTCCTGGGTCTACAGTCTCAGTCCTGGGTCTACAGCCTCAGTCCTGGGTCTACAGCCTCAGTCCTGGGTCTACAGTCTCAGTCCTGGGTCTACAGCCTCAGTCCTGGGTCTACAGTCTCAGTCCTGGGTCTACAGCCTCGGTCCTGGGTCTACGGCCTCGGTCCTGGGTCTTGAGGTCTGGACCTGAGGAACCAGTCTTCCTTGGTCAGTTGCATTGTGGGATGTGTGTTGGAGCCACAAAGGTGCCCCTCCCCCACAGACCTTTGTCACTAAAACTACAGAACAGACGAGAAAAGCAGGATCCTCGGCAGCAGAGTCTAATCTATAATGTGTGAAACTGGTTTGTGCTTTTGGGCGGGACCAGAGAGAGAGACCAGAGAGAGACCAGAGAGAGAGACCAGAGAGAGACCAGAGAGAGGCCAGAGAGAGAGACCAGAGAGAGACCAGAGAGAGACCAGAGAGAGAGACCAGAGAGAGGCCAGAGAGAGACCAGAGAGAGAGACCAGAGAGAGACCAGAGAGAGACCAGAGAGAGACCAGAGAGAGACCAGAGAGAGGCCAGAGAGAGACCAGAGAGAGACCAGAGAGAGACCAGAGAGAGACCAGAGAGAGGCCAGAGAGAGACCAGAGAGAGACCAGAGAGAGACCAGAGAGAGACCAGAGAGAGACCAGAGAGAGACCAGAGAGAGAGACCAGAGAGAGACCAGAGAGAGACCAGAGAGAGACCAGAGAGAGACCAGAGAGAGACCAGAGAGAGACCAGAGAGAGAGACCAGAGAGAGACCAGAGAGAGACCAGAGAGAGACCAGAGAGAGAGACCAGAGAGAGAGACCAGAGAGAGAGACCAGAGAGAGAGACCAGAGAGAGACCAGAGAGAGACCAGAGAGAGAGACCAGAGAGAGAGACCAGAGAGAGAGACCAGAGAGAGACCAGAGAGAGAGACCAGAGAGAGAGACCAGAGAGAGACCAGAGAGAGACCAGAGAGAGACCAGAGAGAGACCAGAGAGAGACCAGAGAGAGACAAGAGAGAGAGACCAGAGAGAGACCAGAGAGAGACCAGAGAGAGACCAGAGAGAGACCAGAGAGAGACCAGAGAGAGACCAGAGAGAGAGACCAGAGAGAGAGACCAGAGAGAGAGACCAGAGAGAGGCCAGAGAGAGACCAGAGAGAGACCAGAGAGAGACCAGAGAGAGAGACCAGAGAGAGGCCAGAGAGAGAGAGACCAGAGAGAGACCAGAGAGAGACCAGAGAGAGACCAGAGGCCTCATGTTGCTGGTCTCTGCTGGAGTCAGTGGTATTAAGTTCAAAAACTGACGCAGCATCACTGTTTGTGCAAATGTGAAAAGCATTTGGTGAATTTACAGTAGAGTCACACACACAGTACACACACACACAGGTCTGTGGGAACACATGAAGCCAAATGTCTCACCTCCGTCACAAATGCAGTATTTAAACTATAACTTTCCCCCATCACGACTTCAAATAATACTGTGTCATTAGCATCAGAGTGTGATGTTGTCTCTGCATCAGCTGTTCTGGGACCTGCAGACCAACTTATGGACCAGGACTCTGTGTGTGTGTGTGTGTGTGTGTGTGTGTGTGTGTGTGTGTGTGTGTGTGTGTGTGTGTGTGTGTGTGTGTGTGTGTGTGTGTGTGTGTGTGTGTGTGTGTGTGTGTGTGTGTGTGTGTGTGTGTGTGTGTGTGTGTGTGTTTCCTGTGGTCCTCCCTCAGACTCAGAGACAATAAACTTCTGGGGTCAAAGGAAGCGGTCGGAGGAGGGTGAGGCACAAAGACACAGCTCTGTGTGAGATAACAGAGCCGTAGCCAGAGCCGTAGCCAGAGCCGTAGCCAGAGCCGTAGCCAGAGCCAGAGCCACATCAGTAGCCAGAGCCATAACCAGAGCCGTAGCCAAAGCCAGAGCCGTAGCCAGAGCCACATCCGTAGCCAGAGCCGTAGCCAGAGCCGTAACCAGAGCCGTAGCCAAAGCCAGAGCCGTAGCCAGAGCCGTAGCCAGAGCCGTAGCCAGAGCCAGAGCCACATCCGTAGCCACATCCGTAGCCAGAGCCGTAGCCAGAGCCGTAACCAGAGCCGTAGCCAGAGCCGTAGCCAGAGCCGTAGCCAGAGCCGTAGCCAGAGCCAGAGCCGTAGCCAGAGCCGTAGCCAGAGCCGTAGCCAGAGCCGTAGCCAGAGCCGTAGCCAGAGCCGTAGCCGTAGCCACAGCCGTAGCCACAGCCGTAGCCAGAGCCGTAGCCAGAGCCGTAGCCAGAGCCGTAGCCGTAGCCGTAGCCAGAGCCAGAGCCGTAGCCAGAGCCAGAGCCAGAGCCGTAGCCAGAGCCGTAGCCAGAGCCAGAGCCGTAGCCAGAGCCAGAGCCACATCCGTAGCCAGAGCCGTAGCCAGAGCCGTAGCCAAAGCCAGAGCCAGAGCCGTAGCCAGAGCCGTAGCCAGAGCCAGAGCCACATCCGTAGCCACATCCGTAGCCAGAGCCGTAGCCAGAGCCGTAACCAGAGCCGTAGCCAGAGACGTAGCCAGAGCCGTAGCCAGAGCCGTAGCCAGAGCCGTAGCCAGAGCCAGAGCCGTAGCCAGAGCCGTAGCCAGAGCCGTAGCCAGAGCCGTAGCCAGAGCCGTAGCCACAGCCAGAGCCGTAGCCAGAGCCAGAGCCGTAGCCAGAGCCGTAGCCAGAGCCAGAGCCACATCCGTAGCCAGAGCCGTAGCCAGAGCCGTAACCAGAGCCGTAGCCAAAGCCAGAGCCGTAGCCAGAGCCGTAGCCAGAGCCAGAGCCACATCCGTAGCCAGAGCCGTAACCAGAGCCGTAGCCAGAGCCGTAGCCAGAGCCGTAGCCAGAGCCAGAGCCGTAACCAGAGCCGTAGCCACATCCGTAGCCAGAGCCGTAGCCAGAGCCGTAACCAGAGCCGTAGCCAGAGCCGTAGCCAGAGCCGTAGCCAGAGCCGTAGCCGTAGCCAGAGCCGTAGCCAGAGCCGTAGCCAGAGCCGTAGCCAGAGCCGTAGCCAGAGCCGTAGCCAGAGCCGTAGCCACAGCCGTAGCCACAGCTGTAGCCAGAGCCGTAGCCAGAGCCGTAGCCACAGCCAGAGCCGTAGCCAGAGCCAGAGCCGTAGCCAGAGCCAGAGCCGTAGCCAGAGCCGTAGCCAGAGCCGTAGCCAGAGCCAGAGCCACATCCGTAGCCAGAGCCGTAGCCAGAGCCAGAGCCACATCCGTAGCCAGAGCCGTAGCCAGAGCCGTAGCCAGAGCCAGAGCCGTAGCCAGAGCCGTAGCCAGAGCCAGAGCCACATCCGTAGCCACATCCGTAGCCAGAGCCGTAACCAGAGCCGTAGCCAGAGCCGTAGCCAGAGCCGTAGCCAGAGCCAGAGCCGTAGCCAGAGCCGTAGCCAGAGCCGTAGCCAGAGCCGTAGCCAGAGCCGTAGCCAGAGCCGTAGCCAGAGCCACATCCGTAACCAGAGCCGTAGCCAGAGCCGTAGCCAGAGCCGTAGCCAGAGCCAGAGCCGTAGCCAGAGCCGTAGCCACAGCCGTAGCCAGAGCCGTAGCCAGAGCCGTAGCCACAGCCAGAGCCGTAGCCAGAGCCAGAGCCGTAGCCAGAGCCAGAGCCGTAGCCAGAGCCGTAGCCAGAGCCGTAGCCAGAGCCAGAGCCAGAGCCACATCCGTAGCCAGAGCCGTAGCCAGAGCCAGAGCCACATCCGTAGCCAGAGCCGTAGCCAGAGCCGTAACCAGAGCCGTAGCCAGAGCCGTAGCCAGAGCCGTAGCCAGAGCCGTAGCCAGAGCCGTAGCCAGAGCCGTAGCCAGAGCCGTAGCCAGAGCCAGAGCCACATCCGTAGCCACATCCGTAGCCAGAGCCGTAGCCAGAGCCGTAGCCAGAGCCGTAGCCAGAGCCAGAGCCGTAGCCAGAGCCGTAGAGCCGTAGCCAGAGCCGTAGCCAGAGCCGTAGCCAGAGCCGTAGCCAGAGCCGTAGCCAGAGCCGTAGCCGTAGCCAGAGCCGTAACCAGAGCCGTAGCCAGAGCCAGAGCCGTAGCCAGAGCCGTAGCCAGAGCCGTAGCCAGAGCCGTAGCTAGAGCCAGAGCCGTAGCTAGAGCCAGAGCCGTAGCTAGAGCCGTAGCCGTAGCCAGAGCCGTAGCCAGAGCCGTAGCCGTAGCCAGAAACGGACTCTGAGGCAGGACAGGTCCAGACCCACTTCTCACACGTTCTGGTCCTGGTCCTGGTCCTGGGTCTGGTCCCTCTCAGAGCAGTCTCCTCCTCAGCTTATAAAAACCTGTTTCATTCTGGTCAAATGTTGTGTGTTTTTCTCACATGTAAAAGACTCGATACATGAACAAACACAAAGCTTACAGTAAAGTCTGATCTGCAGCAGTACCGCGTGTGGCCACCAGAGGACACTGCTACACACACAGGACACTACTGCTACACACACGGCAGAGAAACTAACACACACACAGCCACCAGAGGACACTGCTACACACACAGGACACTACTGCTACACACACGGCAGAGAAACTAACACACACACAGCCACCAGAGGACACTGCTACCACACAGGACACACACACGGCAGAGAAACTAACACACACACCAGAGGACACTGCTACACACACAGGACCACTACACACACACGGCAGCCACCAGAGGACACTGCTACACACACAGGACACTACTGCTACACACACGGCAGAGAAACTAACACACACAAAGCCACCAGAGGACACTGCTACACACACGGCAGAGAAACTAACACACTGCCACCAGAGGACACTGCTACACACACGGCAGAGAAACTAACACACACACAAGCCACCAGAGGACACTGCTACACACACGGCAAAGAAACTAACACACACACACACAGGACACTACTGCTACACACACACAGAGACACTAACACTACTGCTACACACACACACAGGACACTACTGCTACACACACGGCAAAGAAACTAACACGCACACTTCTGTTCAGCTGTGCTACAACTGAGGGACTTTATATTTTTATCTTTCTTTTCTTGTTTTGTTCAGCACTTAGAGTTGTGCTATACAAATAAACTTGCCGACTACTACACACAGGAAACACAGACACACACACACACAGCCACCAGAGGACACTGTCACCCCACACACAGGGTGTTCTGAGTGAAGTTTGCATGTTCTCCCCGTGTCTGTGCAGGTTTCCTCCGGGTGCTCCGGTTTCCCCTACCACTAAAAACATGCACAATAGGTCTGAATGTAAATGAGAGAGTGAATGGTGGTGTGGGTCAGAGGCTTTGATGGACCAGTGTGTTCTGGACTCGCTTCTGTCATCCACCGTGTGTGGAAGGATTGGAACAATATCTGACTCTGAACATTGGAAAGTGCTTTGGGTCCGTACCTGTGGGTCCGTACCTTGGTCTGTACCTTTGAGTCCGTACCTTGGTCTGTACCTTTGAGTCCGTACCTTGGTCTGTACCTTTGGGTCTGTACCTTTGGGTCCGTACCTGTGGGTCCGTACCTTGGTCTGTACCTTTGAGTCTGTACCTTTGGGTCTGTACCTTGGTCTGTACCTTTGAGTCTGTACCTTTGAGTCTGTACCTTGGTCCGTACCTTGGTCTGTACCTTGAGTCTGTACCTTTGGGTCTGTACCTTGGTCTGTACCTTTGAAGTCTGTACCTTTGGGTCTGTACCTTTGGGTCTGTACCTTTGGGTCTGTACCTTTGGGTCTGTAACCTTTGGGTCTGTACCTTTGGTCTGTACCATTTGGGTCTGTACCTTGGTCTGTACCTTGGTCTGTACCTTTGGGTCTGTACCCTTTGGGTCTGTACCTTTGGGTCTGTACCTTTGAGTCTGTACCTTTGAGTCTGTACCTTGGGCTGTACCTTTGGGTCTGTACCTTTGGGTCTGTACCTTTGGGTCTGACCTTTGGGTCTGTACCTTTGGGTCTGTCTTTGGTCTGTACCTTTGGGGTCTTACCTTTGGGTCTGTACCTTTGGGTCTGTACCTTTGGGTCTGTACCTTTGGGTCTGTACCTTTGGGTCTGTACCTGTACCTTTGGTCTGTACCTTTGAGTCTGTACCTGTTGAGTCTGTACCTTGGTCTGTACCTTTGGGTCTGTACCTTTGGGTCTGTACCTTTGGGTCTGTACCTTTGGGTCTTACCTTGGGTCCGTACCTTGGTCTGTACCTTTGGGTCTGTACCTTTGGGTCTGTACCTTTGGGTCTGTACCTTTGGGTCCGTACCTTGGTCTGTACCTTTGGTCTGTACCTTTGGGTCTGTACCTTTGGGTCTGTACCTTTGGGTCTGTACCTTTGGGTCTGTACCTTTGGGTCTGTACCTGAGTCTGTACCTTGGTCTGTACCTTTGGGTCTGTACCTTTGGGTCTGTACCTTGGGTCTGTGTGTACCTTTGGGTCCTTTGGGTCTGTACCTTTGGGTCTGTACCTTGGTCCGTACCTTTGGTCTGTACCTTTGGTCTGTACCTTTGGGTCTGTACCGTTGGTCTACCTTTGAGTCTGTACCTTTGGGTCTGTACCTTTTTGGGTCTGTACCTTTGGGTCTGTACCTTTGGGTCTGTACCTTTGGGTCTGTACCTTTGTCTGTACCTTTGGGTCTGTACCTTGGGTCTGTACCTTGGTCTGTACCTTGGTCTGTACCTTTGAGTCTGTACCTTTGGGTCTGTCCTGTCTGTACCTTGGGTCTGTACCTTTGGGTCTGTACCTTTGAGTCTGTACCTTTGTCTGTACCTTGGTCTGTACCTTTGGTCTGTACCTTTGGGTCTGTACCTTTGGGTCTGTACTGTGGGTCTGTACCTTTGGGTCTGTACCTTTGGGTCTGTACCTTGGGTCTGTACCTTGGTCTGTACCTTTGAGTCTGTACCTTGGTCTGTACCTTTGGGTCTGTACCTTTGGGTCTGTACCTTTGGGTCTGTACCTTTGGGTCTGTACCTTTGGGTCTGTACCTTTGGGTCTGTACCTTGGTCTGTACCTTTGAGTCTGTACCTTTGAGTCTGTACCTTGGTCTGTACCTTTGGGTCTGTACCTTTGGGTCTGTACCTTTGGGTCTGTACCTTTGGGTCTGTACCTTTGGGTCTGTACCTTTGGGTCTGTACCTTTGGGTCTGTACCTGTGGGTCCGTACCTTGGTCTGTACCTTTGGGTCTGTACCTTTGGGTCTGTACCTTTGGGTCTGTACCTTTGGGTCCGTACCTTGGTCTGTACCTTTGGGTCTGTACCTTTGGGTCTGTACCTTTGGGTCTGTACCTTTGAGTCTGTACCTTGGTCTGTACCTTTGGGTCTGTGCCTTTGGGTCTGTGCCTTTGGGTCTGTACCTTTGGGTCTGTACCTTTGGGTCTGTACCTTGGTCTGTACCTTTGGGTCTGTGCCTTTGGGTCTGTGCCTTTGGGTCTGTACCTTTGGGTCTGTACCTTTGAGTCTGTACCTTGGTCTGTACCTTTGGGTCTGTGCCTTTGGGTCTGTACCTTTGGGTCTGTACCTTTGGGTCTGTACCTTGGTCTGTACCTTTGGGTCTGTACCTTGGTCTGTACCTTGGTCTGTACCTTTGAGTCTGTACCTTGGTCTGTACCTTTGGGTCTGTACCTTTGGGTCTGTACCTTTGGGTCTGTACCTTTGGGTCTGTACCTTTGGGTCTGTACCTTTGGGTCTGTACCTTGGTCTGTACCTTTGAGTCTGTACCTTTGAGTCTGTACCTTGGTCTGTACCTTTGGGTCTGTACCTTTGGGTCTGTACCTTTGGGTCTGTACCTTTGGGTCTGTACCTTTGGGTCTGTACCTTTGGGTCTGTACCTTTGGGTCTGTACCTGTGGGTCCGTACCTTGGTCTGTACCTTTGGGTCTGTACCTTTGGGTCTGTACCTTTGGGTCCGTACCTTTGGGTCCGTACCTTGGTCTGTACCTTTGGGTCTGTACCTTTGGGTCTGTACCTTTGGGTCTGTACCTTTGAGTCTGTACCTTGGTCTGTACCTTTGGGTCTGTGCCTTTGGGTCTGTGCCTTTGGGTCTGTACCTTTGGGTCTGTACCTTTGGGTCTGTACCTTTGGGTCTGTACCTTTGGGTCTGTACCTTTGGGTCTGTACCTTTGGGTCTGTACCTTTGGGTCTGTACCTTTGGGTCTGTACCTTTGGGTCCGTACCTTGGTCTGTACCTTTGGGTCTGTACCTTTGGGTCTGTACCTTTGGGTCTGTACCTTTGAGTCTGTACCTTGGTCTGTACCTTTGGGTCTGTGCCTTTGGGTCTGTGCCTTTGGGTCTGTACCTTTGGGTCTGTACCTTTGGGTCTGTACCTTTGGGTCTGTGACATGTGCTATATAAATAAACATTACGTACACAGGACACTACTACTACACACACGGCAGAGAAACAGACACACACACTGCCACAAGAGGACACTGTCGCCCCACACACAGAGACACTGCTACACACACAGGATAGACACACACAGAGACACTGCTACACACACAGGATAGACACACACAGAGACACTGCTACACACACAGAGACACACACACACAGACACTGCTACACACACAGAGACACACACACACACAGACACTGCTACACACACAGGATAGACACACACACACAGAGACACTGCTACACACACAGAGACACACACACACAGAGACACTGCTACACACACAGGATAGACACACACACACAGAGACACTGCTACACACACAGGATAGACACACACACACAGAGACACTGCTACACACACAGAGACACACACACACAGAGACACTGCTACACACACAGGATAGACACACACACAGAGACACTGCTACACACACAGGATAGACACACACACAGAGACACTGCTACACACACAGGAGACACGCACACACAGAGACACTGCTACACAAACAGGATAGACACACACACACAGAGACACTGCTACACACACAGGATAGACACACACACACACACAGAGACACTGCTACACACACAGGATAGACACACACACACACAGAGACACTGCTACACACACAGGATAGACACACACACACAGAGACACTGCTACACACACAGGATAGACACACACACACACAGAGACACTGCTACACACACAGGATAGAGACACACACATACAGTTTGAGTCCAGTTTGAGTCCAGTTTGAGTCCAGTGTGAGTCCAGTGTGAGTCCAGTGTGAGTCCAGTGTGAGTCCAGTGTGAGTCCAGTTTGAGTCCAGTTTGAGTCCAGTTTGAGTCCAGTGTGAGTCCAGTGTGAGTCCAGTTTGAGTCCAGTGTGAGTCCAGTGTGAGTCCAGTGTGAGTCCAGTTTGAGTCCAGTTTGAGTCCAGTGTGAGTCCAGTGTGAGTCCAGTGTGAGTCCAGTTTGAGTCCAGTTTGAGTCCAGTTTGAGTCCAGTTTGAGTCCAGTGTGAGTCCAGTGTGAGTCCAGTGTGAGTCCAGTGTGAGTCCAGTTTGAGTCCAGTGTGAGTCCAGTGTGAGTCCAGTTTGAGTCCAGTTTGAGTCCAGTGTGAGTCCAGTGTGAGTCCAGTGTGAGTCCAGTGTGAGTCCAGTTTGAGTCCAGTTTGAGTCCAGTTTGAAAATCTTAATATTTAGTTTATTTATATTGGTCGGCACGGTGGATAGACACACACACAGAGACACTGCTACACACACAGGATAGACACACACACAGAGACACTGCTACACACACAGGAGACACGCACACACAGAGACACTGCTACACAAACAGGATAGACACACACACACAGAGACACTGCTACACACACAGGATAGACACACACACACACAGAGACACTGCTACACACACAGGATAGACACACACACACACACAGAGACACTGCTACACACACAGGATAGACACACACACACAGAGACACTGCTACACACACAGGATAGACACACACACACACACAGAGACACTGCTACACACACAGGATAGAGACACACACATACAGTTTGAGTCCAGTTTGAGTCCAGTTTGAGTCCAGTTTGAGTCCAGTGTGAGTCCAGTGTGAGTCCAGTGTGAGTCCAGTGTGAGTCCAGTTTGAGTCCAGTTTGAGTCCAGTTTGAGTCCAGTGTGAGTCCAGTGTGAGTCCAGTTTGAGTCCAGTGTGAGTCCAGTGTGAGTCCAGTGTGAGTCCAGTTTGAGTCCAGTTTGAGTCCAGTGTGAGTCCAGTGTGAGTCCAGTTTGAGTCCAGTTTGAGTCCAGTTTGAGTCCAGTTTGAGTCCAGTGTGAGTCCAGTGTGAGTCCAGTTTGAGTCCAGTTTGAGTCCAGTGTGAGTCCAGTGTGAGTCCAGTTTGAGTCCAGTTTGAGTCCAGTGTGAGTCCAGTGTGAGTCCAGTGTGAGTCCAGTTTGAGTCCAGTTTGAGTCCAGTTTGAGTCCAGTTTGAGTCCAGTGTGAGTCCAGTGTGAGTCCAGTGTGAGTCCAGTTTGAGTCCAGTTTGAGTCCAGTGTGAGTCCAGTGTGAGTCCAGTTTGAGTCCAGTGTGAGTCCAGTGTGAGTCCAGTGTGAGTCCAGTTTGAGTCCAGTGTGAGTCCAGTGTGAGTCCAGTGTGAGTCCAGTTTGAGTCCAGTTTGAGTCTAGTTTGAAAATCTTAATATTTAGTTTATTTATATTGGTCGGCACGGTGGATAGACACACACACAGAGACACTGCTACACACACAGGATAGACACACACACAGAGACACTGCTACACACACAGGAGACACGCACACACAGAGACACTGCTACACAAACAGGATAGACACACACACACAGAGACACTGCTACACACACAGGATAGACACACACACACAGAGACACTGCTACACACACAGGATAGACACACACACACACACAGAGACACTGCTACACACACAGGATAGACACACACACACAGAGACACTGCTACACACACAGGATAGACACACACACACACAGAGACACTGCTACACACACAGGATAGAGACACACACATACAGTTTGAGTCCAGTGTGAGTCCAGTTTGAGTCCAGTTTGAGTCCAGTGTGAGTCCAGTGTGAGTCCAGTTTGAGTCCAGTTTGAGTCCAGTTTGAGTCCAGTTTGAGTCCAGTTTGAGTCCAGTTTGAGTCCAGTGTGAGTCCAGTGTGAGTCCAGTTTGAGTCCAGTGTGAGTCCAGTGTGAGTCCAGTGTGAGTCCAGTTTGAGTCCAGTGTGAGTCCAGTGTGAGTCCAGTGTGAGTCCAGTGTGAGTCCAGTGTGAGTCCAGTGTGAGTCCAGTGTGAGTCCAGTTTGAGTCCAGTTTGAGTCCAGTTTGAGTCCAGTTTGAGTCCAGTGTGAGTCCAGTGTGAGTCCAGTGTGAGTCCAGTTTGAGTCCAGTTTGAGTCCAGTGTGAGTCCAGTGTGAGTCCAGTTTGAGTCCAGTTTGAGTCCAGTGTGAGTCCAGTGTGAGTCCAGTGTGAGTCCAGTGTGAGTCCAGTTTGAGTCCAGTTTGAGTCCAGTTTGAAAATCTTAATATTTAGTTTATTTATATTGGTCGGCACGGTGGATAGACACACACACAGAGACACTGCTACACACACAGGATAGACACACACACAGAGACACTGCTACACACACAGGAGACACGCACGCACAGAGACACTGCTACACAAACAGGATAGACACACACACACAGAGACACTGCTACACACACAGGATAGACACACACACACACACACAGAGACACTGCTACACACACAGGATAGACACACACACACACACAGAGACACTGCTACACACACAGGATAGACACACACACACAGAGACACTGCTACACACACAGGATAGACACACACACACACAGAGACACTGCTACACACACAGGATAGAGACACACACATACAGTTTGAGTCCAGTTTGAGTCCAGTGTGAGTCCAGTTTGAGTCCAGTTTGAGTCCAGTTTGAGTCCAGTGTGAGTCCAGTGTGAGTCCAGTGTGAGTCCAGTTTGAGTCCAGTTTGAGTCCAGTTTGAGTCCAGTGTGAGTCCAGTTTGAGTCCAGTTTGAGTCCAGTTTGAAAATCTTAATATTTAGTTTATTTATATTGGTCGGCACGGTGGATAGCACTCTCGCCTCTCAGCAAGAAGGTCCTGGGTTCGAATCCAGGTCGGTCCAGGGCCTTTTTGAGTGGAGTTTGCATGTTCTCCCCGTGTCTGTGTAGGTTTCCTCCGGGTACTCCGGTTTCCCCTACCACTAAAAACATGTACAATAGTTCTGTGTCTCCTGCACTGGCCCCGCTCCCATCTCTGTGTCAGAGACTAATGCCCAAAAATAACATTTGTAAACCGCTTTGACTCTGGTCTGCAGTGAAAAGGCGCTATATAAATAAATATTACTTACTACTTTGAAAAACACAATAATGTGAATCAACTGTGTTTCAATAATGACAAAGACGTCTTTCAGCGCAGCAAGACTCCGCCTGAGAGCACTTTACTATGTATAAATACTTTAAAATACTATATAGATATGTATAAATACTTTAAAATACTATATAGATATGTATCAATACTTTAAAATACTATATAGATATGTATAAATACTTTAAAATACTATATAGATATGTATCAATACTTTAAAATACTATATAGATATGTATAAATACTTTAAAATACTATATAGATATGTATAAATACTTTTTAAAGTACTGTGTGAATGAAAGTGTCCTTTGTTGTGGAGAACGAGCAGAAACATTTTGCGACCGACGTCTCAAAGACCACGATTCAAAATGGAGGCCGACCCCCCACCACGCCATCTCCCCCGACTCCCCCATGTCTCCTCCGTGTCCCTGACTCCCTCATCTCACCCGTCTCCCCCCATGACGACACCCTACCCCGAGTCCCCTGTCTCCCCCATAACGCCCCCATCTCCCCCTCTCGGCACTCGCCGCGTTCCCAAAATGAGGCAGCATTTTGAGCGGCCATTTTCTTTGAGATGAACAAAGAGGTCTCTCTCCTCTTCCTCATCCTCCTCTTCCTCCCTCCTGTTTGTCCATGTCCCCCCCCCCCCCCCCACCCCCCCGGGGTCCAGCCTCCTCTTCCTCCTCTTCCTCCTCGTCCTGCTCCAGATCTGTCACATGGCATTAGTTGTCTTCACGCTCTCGGCCGTGGCACTAACAGCCGTGAACGCCGTGAACGCCGCCGCAGCTTCTCCTGCTCCAGTTAGCGCTCGCTAACAAATACCACCGCACTCGCGCGCTTGTTTTTCCCGCTCTTACGCAACACGCCCCGAGAAAAGGGCAAAGTTAGAACAATCTGAGCTGAAAGGTTAAAAAGCGAGTGTTGCGTAACGCTGCGAATAATCGGGCGCTTCGACCGAGGATCAGGAGTGAACCACTTCTTATCTCGGTGCGAAAACCTGCAGCTCTGAACAAATACATCTGAGATTCTTCCATGACGCCTCAGGGTTTAAAGGAGGCTGTGACCAATGAGAGACTGGGGACGACTTTGGGATCGTGACAAAGAGCTAGCTAGCAGCTGCAGGTCATGGATGATGTCACACCACATTCTGGAAGACATGTGACATCACAGGGAAGTGAACTCGGCTCACGGTTTGGAAACAGAAACGTACATAACTATGAGAACGAGAGGCCGTCTCCCTCTCTCCCCCAACGTCCCCTCCCTCGTCTCCCCCCGTACTCTCTCAGACTGACGGGGGGTCCAAACTCTGACGGAGCTTCACTCTTGTTACACGGCTTCATACACTCATTATGCAACACACACACACACACACACACACACACACACACACACACACACACACACACACACACACACACACCAATAAAACTCGTCATAATCAAAGCAGATTAACGACTGAGACAATAGAAGCTTCACTAATCACCCTGATACTGAAACATCCAATCACAGACTGAGGTGTGTGTGTGTCCGTCTGTGTGCGTGTCTGTGTGTGCGTTTGTGCGTCTGTCTGTGTGCGTGTCTGTGTGTGCGTTTGTGTGCGTCTCTGTGTGCGTGTCTGTGTGCGTGTCTGTGTGCGTGTCTGTGTGCGTGTCTGTGTGTGCGTCTGTGTGCGCGTCTGTTTGTGTGTGTGTGCGTCTGTCTGTGTGCGTGTCTGTGTGTGCGTTTGTGTGCGTCTCTGTGTGCGTGTCTGTGTGTGCGTCTGTGTTTGTGTGTGTGTGCGTCTGTGTGTGTGTTTGTGTGTGCATCTGTGTGTGTGTTTGTGTGTGTGTGCGTCTGTGTTTGTGTGTGTGCGTCTGTCTGTGTGTGTGTTTGTGTGTGTGTGCGTCTGTGTTTGTGTGTGTGTCTCACCGAGGGTCTTGTTTGATTCCTGTGTTGGACTGATTTTCTGATCTGTTGTTGGAGAATTTTGGAGAAGTTTCCAAAATTATTGGTTCACTAAAAAATTCAAAAGCCAAAGACATTCATGGTTTGGACACTCATCTTCTAAAATTATGCAAAGAGTCTTTTATTGCACCAATAACACAAATGGTTAATTTGTCACTCAATCAGGGAGTTGTTCCATCCTCCTGGAAACTGGCCACAGTCGCTCCAATTTTTAAATCTGGTGACAGATCGCAAATATCCAATTATCGACCAATTTCTATACTTCCAGTTGTTTCCAAGATTGTTGAGAGATGGGTAGCAAATATTTTAAATGAACATCTGAACAATAGTTCATCTAGCTTGCATCCCATGCAATTTGGTTTTAGAGCAAACCATTCCACTGAATCAGCAAACAGCTTCTTTATAGAAAATGTAAAAAGTAAATTAGATATATATCCCTGTGTTGGTGCAGTGTTCCTTGATCTTAAAAAGGCATTTGACACTGTCAGCCATGAAATTCTGATAGCAAAATTAACAGACTTCAACTTCTCGCCAGAGGCCATTCAATGGATGAAATCATATTTAGCTTCACGAAAACAATGTGTACATATTGGCAGTGTAAAGTCATCAATCCAGGATGTCCCAGTCGGTGTGCCGCAAGGATCAATACTTGGCCCCCTATTATTCTCACTGTACATAAATGATCTTCCCAAAACATGTACTAATGTGAGTTTTCAAATGTATGCAGATGATGCTGTAATATATACTCATGCAAGGAGCGTTAAGGAAGCAGCTTCCATTCTGACCTCAGCCATGGAACAAGTAAATGACTGGCTATTTAAATCATGCTTGCTTCTAAATTCTAAAAAAACGGTCTGTATGATGTTCTCCAAGCAATCAAAAGTGATGAAAAATTCTGGAGTTTTCTTGAGAGGGGAAGAACTACAACTTGTCACAGAATTCAAGTATCTGGGTCTGACACTCGACTCCACTCTATCTTTTAAAGATCATATAAAAAAACTGGCCAACACCATTAAATTCAACCTTAAAATGTTTAAACAAATCAGGTCTTTTTTAACACTTAATGCAGCCAGAATGTTTCTCCATTCAATGATTTTATCCCATGTTGAATATTGCATCACAAGTTGGTCTCTCACCTCTGTAACCAATTTGAAAATAATTGAATCTCTGTATAAGAAATCTCTTAAAGTTTTTGACAGAAAACCCAATTCATTTCATACATGCAATATTTTAAACAAGCACAATCTTTTAAATTTTGAAAGTTTTATCAACTTTAAGTATGTATGCTTCATCTACAAAGCGCTACATGGACTAGCCCCACCTCCTGTATCGGCCCTATTCAAACCTAGGACTTCAAGTGGCCTGAGGACTAGGGCCTCCTCCAGAGGAGACTGTGAGGTCCCCTTCAGAAAAACTACATTTGGACAGAACACTCTCTCTGTGAGGGCCATGAACATCTGGAACAGTCTCCCTCTGCACTTACGGGAGAGTCCTACACTGGTCACCTTTAAAACTCAAATCAAACAATGGATTAAGAGAAATCAGTCATGTGACCACTAGATTCTGAACTATTCTCTGTGCTAGTTGTATTATAGTGTTATTTTGTATTTTATTGTATTGTATTTCGTTATGTATTTTCCTGCCTAGGGACTACGGATGAAAACTAGCTTTGTAGCTATAATCCGGCATATTTACATTTGTTTTATACTGATGTTCATTAATGTGCATTGTCCCTATCAAATAAATAAATAAATAAAATCAACATCTTTCTAAAGTCCTCTGAGAAAACTACTGTGATTCAGGACGATACAAACGCACAATCATCTCCTTTATCATCAGGACGACTTCAGCAACAGTTTATTTCTATCACAGTTTATTATAGACCACCAACTACAGTCACACACACACACACACAACAGTCACACACACACACAACAGTCACACACACACACAACAGTCACACACACACACTATAGTCTGACACACACACACACTACAGTCTCACACACACTATAGTCTGACACACACACACACAACAGTCACACACACACACAACAGTCACACACACACACAACAGTCACACACACACACACACACACAACAGTCACACACACACACTATAGTCTGACACACACACACACTACAGTCTCACACACACTATAGTCTGACACACACACACACTACAGTCACACACACACACTACAGTCACACACACACACTACAGTCACACACACAACAGTCACACACACACACTACAGCCTGACACACTACAGTCGCACACACTACAGTCACACACACACACACTACAGTCACACACACACACTACAGTCGTACACACTACAGTCACACACACACTACAGACACACACACTAAAGTCTGACACACACACTACAGTCGCACACACTACAGTCGCACACACTACAGTCACAGCACTTGTAACTACACCCTGTGCTAATGCTATTTCCTATGATGTGGAATTAAAAGCGCAAGCGGCTTCAGATGACGACCACTCACGCTAAAGCAAACAGTTTGAAGTCCAAGATACGACCAACACGAGCTTAAAGCAACGTGACATTACAGACCAGAGAGAGGGGGGAGGCAGACTGAGGCAGACTGAGGCAGACTGAGGCAGACTGAGGCAGACTGAGGCAGACTGAGGCAGACTGAGGCAGACTGAGGCAGACTGAGGCAGACTGAGGCAGACGAGCCCAGGCCAATCCCTCTCCCGGTGCAGATGTGCCTGAGCTGGAACACACAGGATGTAAAGATCTACTGCAGCGTAAGTCCTGGGTCTACAGCCTCAGTCCACAGCCTCAGTCCTGGGTCTACAGTCTCAGTCCTGGGTCTACAGCCTCAGTCCACAGCCTCAGTCCTGGGTCTACAGTCTCAGTCCTGGGTCTACAGCCTCAGTCCTGGGTCTACAGCCTCAGTCCTGGGTCTACAGCCTCAGTCCTGGGTCTACAGCCTCAGTCCTGGGTCTACAGCCTCAGTCCTGGGTCTACAGTCTCAGTCCTGGGTCTACAGCCTCAGTCCTGGGTCTACAGCCTCAGTCCTGGGTCTACAGCCTCAGTCCACAGCCTCAGTCCTGGGTCTACAGCCTCAGTCCTGGGTCTACAGCCTCAGTCCTGGGTCTACAGCCTCAGTCCTGGGTCTACAGCCTCAGTCCTGGGTCTACAGCCTCAGTCCACAGCCTCAGTCCTGGGTCTACAGCCTCAGTCCTGGGTCTACAGCCTCAGTCCTGGATCTACAGTCTCAGTCCTGGATCTACAGTCTCAGTCCTGGGTCTACAGCCTCAGTCCTGGATCTACAGCCTCAGTCCTGGGTCTACAGCCTCAGTCCTGGGTCTACAGCCTCAGTCCTGGGTCTACTGCCTCAGTCCTGGGTCTACAGCCTCAGTCCTGGGTCTACAGCCTCAGTCCTGGGTCTACAGCCTCAGTCCACAGCCTCAGTCCTGGATCTCAGGTGGTTGTGTGAGGGCATCTGGCTCAAAGAACGCTACACTAAACATGCAAATAAGTGCACATAACGGAGCAGAAGGGCAGTGACCTGGAAGAGTCAGGAATGCGGTGGTAATTGGTGATATTCATGCACAGTCTCTGAAGGAGGATAAAACATGTTAATGCTCTTGTTCCTGATGACCTCAGCTCGCAGCTCGTTAGCGAACACAGGCTAACGATGCTGATGAGGCATCTCCGCCGCCGCATGCAAACTTTGCCGCTTGACTTCTCAGATGAAAGTGAAAGCTGGCGGAGGCCGTGGCGAGCTCAGAAGGCAGTGGGCAAACCGCTCCTGACGTGGCCGAGCGCCCAGAGCAGGACCCACTGCTCACAAATAGGCCACAGCTGTTTGCTTCTGTAGGCGACAAATTAGACTCAATATGTCACACAGCATCAAGTCACACCGACGTCTCTGCGGCAGCACGGACACGACCACAGCATCAAGTCACACCGACGTCTCTGCGGCAGCACGGACACGACCACGACCACAGCATCAAGTCACACCGACGTCTCTGCGGCAGCACGGACACGACCACGACCACAGCATCAAGTCACACCGACGTCTCTGCGGCAGCACGGACACGACCACAGCATCAAGTCACACCGACGTCTCTGCGGCAGCACGGACACGACCACAGCATCAAGTCACACCGACGTCTCTGCGGCAGCACGGACACGACCACGACCACAGCATCAAGTCACACCGACGTCTCTGCGGCAGCACGGACACGACCACGACCACAGCATCAAGTCACACCGACGTCTCTGCGGCAGCACGGACACGACCACAGCATCAAGTCACACCGACGTCTCTGCGGCAGCACGGACACGACCACAGCATCAAGTCACACCGACGTCTCTGCGGCAGCACGGACACGACCACGGCCACGACCACAGCATCAAGTCACACCGACGTCTCTGCGGCAGCACGGACACGACCACGGCCACGACCACAGCATCAAAGTCACACCGACGTCTCTGCAGCAGCACGGACACGACCACGGCCACGACCACAGCATCAAGTCACACCGACGTCTCTGCGGCAGCACGGACACGACCACGACCACAGCATCAAGTCACACCGACGTCTCTGCGGCAGCACGGACACGACCACGACCACAGCATCAAGTCACACCGACGTCTCTGCGGCAGCACGGACACGACCACGACCACAGCATCAAGTCACACCGACGTCTCTGCGGCAGCACGGACACGACCACGACCACAGCATCAAGTCACACCGACGTCTCTGCGGCAGCACGGACACGACCACGACCACAGCATCAAGTCACACCGACGTCTCTGCGGCAGCACGGACACGACCACGACCACGACCACAGCATCAAGTCACACCGACGTCTCTGCGGCAGCACGGACACGACCATGACCACAGCATCAAGTCACACCGACGTCTCTGCGGCAGCACGGACACGACCACGACCACAGCATCAAGTCACACCGACGTCTCTGCGGCAGCACGGACACGACCACGGCCTCGACCACAGCATCAAGTCACACCGACGTCTCTGCGGCAGCACGGACACGACCACGACCACAGCATCAAGTCACACCGACGTCTCTGCGGCAGCACGGACACGACCACGGCCTCGACCACAGCATCAAGTCACACCGACGTCTCTGCGGCAGCACGGACACGACCTCGACCACAACATCAAGTCACACCGACGTCTCTGCGGCAGCACGGACACGACCACGGCCACGACCACAGCATCAAGTCACACCGACGTCTCTGCAGCAGCACGGACACGACCACGGCCTCGACCACAGCATCAAGTCACACCGACGTCTCTGCGGCAGCACGGACACGACCACGACCACAGCATCAAGTCACACCGACGTCTCTGCGGCAGCACGGACACGACCACGGCCTCGACCACAGCATCAAGTCACACCGACGTCTCTGCGGCAGCACGGACACGACCTCGACCACAGCATCAAGTCACACCGACGTCTCTGCGGCAGCACGGACACGACCACGACCACAGCATCAAGTCACACCGACGTCTCTGCGGCAGCACGGACACGACCGCGACCACAGCATCAAGTCACACCGACGACTCTGCGGCAGCACGGACACGACCACGACCTCGACCACAGCATCAAGTCACACCGACGTCTCTGCGGCAGCACGGACACGACCACGACCACAGCATCAAGTCACACCGACGTCTCTGCGGCAGCACGGACACGACCACAGCATCAAGTCACACCGACGTCTCTGCGGCAGCACGGACACGACCACGGCCACGACCACAGCATCAAGTCACACCGACGTCTCTGCAGCAGCACGGACACGACCACGGCCACGACCACAGCATCAAGTCACACCGACGTCTCTGCGGCAGCACGGACACGACCGCGACCACAGCATCAAGTCACACCGACGTCTCTGCGGCAGCACGGACACGACCACGACCTCGACCACAGCATCAAGTCACACCGACGTCTCTGCGGCAGCACGGACACGACCGCGACCACAGCATCAAGTCACACCGACGTCTCTGCGGCAGCACGGACACGACCACGACCACAGCATCAAGTCACACCGACGTCTCTGCGGCAGCACGGACACGACCACAGCATCAAGTCACACCGACGTCTCTGCGGCAGCACGGACACGACCACGGCCACGACCACAGCATCAAGTCACACCGACGTCTCTGCAGCAGCACGGACACGACCACGGCCACGACCACAGCATCAAGTCACACCGACGTCTCTGCGGCAGCACGGACACGACCACGACCACAGCATCAAGTCACACCGACGTCTCTGCGGCAGCACGGACACGACCACGACCACAGCATCAAGTCACACCGACGTCTCTGCGGCAGCACGGACACGACCACGACCACAGCATCAAGTCACACCGACGACTCTGCAGCAGCACGGACACGACCACGACCACAGCATCAAGTCACACCGACGACTCTGCGGCAGCACGGACACGACCACAGCATCAAGTCACACCGACGTCTCTGCGGCAGCACGGACACGACCACGGCCTCGACCACAGCATCAAGTCACACCGACGTCTCTGCGGCAGCACGGACACGACCACGGCCTCAACCACAGCATCAAGTCACACCGACGTCTCTGCGGCAGCACGGACACGACCACGGCCTCGACCACAGCATCAAGTCACACCGACGTCTCTGCGGCAGCACGGACACGACCACGACCACAGCATCAAGTCACACCGACGACTCTGCGGCAGCACGGACACGACCACGACCACAGCATCAAGTCACACCGACGTCTCTGCGGCAGCACGGACACGACCACGGCCTCGACCACAGCATCAAGTCACACCGACGTCTCTGCGGCAGCACGGACACGACCACGGCCGCGACCACAGCATCAAGTCACACCGACGACTCTGCGGCAGCACGGACACGACCACGGCCTCGACCACAGCATCAAGTCACACCGACGTCTCTGCGGCAGCACGGACACGACCACGGCCACAGCATCAAGTCACACCGACGACTCTGCGGCAGCACGGACACGACCACGACCTCGACCACAGCATCAAGTCACACCGACGTCTCTGCGGCAGCACGGACACGGCCACGGCCTCGACCACAGCATCAAGTCACACCGACGTCTCTGCGGCAGCACGGACACGACCACGGCCTCGACCACAGCATCAAGTCACACCGACGTCTCTGCGGCAGCACGGACACGACCACGACCACAGCATCAAGTCACACCGACGTCTCTGCGGCAGCACGGACACGACCGCGACCACAGCATCAAGTCACACCGACGACTCTGCGGCAGCACGGACACGACCACGGCCTCGACCACAGCATCAAGTCACACCGACGTCTCTGCGGCAGCACGGACACGACCGCGACCACAGCATCAAGTCACACCGACGACTCTGCGGCAGCACGGACACGACCACGACCTCGACCACAGCATCAAGTCACACCGACGTCTCTGCGGCAGCACGGACACGACCACGGCCACGACCACAGCATCAAGTCACACCGACGTCTCTGCAGCAGCACGGACACGACCACGACCACGACCACAGCATCAAGTCACACCGACGTCTCTGCGGCAGCACGGACACGGCCACGGCCACAGCATCAAGTCACACCGACGTCTCTGCGGCAGCACGGACACGACCACGGCCTCGACCACAGCATCAAGTCACACCGACGTCTCTGCGGCAGCACGGACACGACCACGACCACAGCATCAAGTCACACCGACGTCTCTGCGGCAGCACGGACACGACCACGGCCTCGACCACAGCATCAAGTCACACCGACGTCTCTGCGGCAGCACGGACACGACCACGACCACAGCATCAAGTCACACCGACGTCTCTGCGGCAGCACGGACACGACCACGACCACAGCATCAAGTCACACCGACGTCTCTGCGGCAGCACGGACACGACCACAGCATCAAGTCACACCGACGTCTCTGCGGCAGCACGGACACGACCACGGCCACGACCACAGCATCAAGTCACACCGACGTCTCTGCGGCAGCACGGACACGACCACGGCCACGACCACAGCATCAAGTCACACCGACGACTCTGCGGCAGCACGGACACGACCACAGCATCAAGTCACACCGACGTCTCTGCGGCAGCACGGACACGACCACGGCCTCGACCACAGCATCAAGTCACACCGACGTCTCTGCGGCAGCACGGACACGACCACGGCCTCGACCACAGCATCAAGTCACACCGACGTCTCTGCGGCAGCACGGACACGACCACGACCACAGCATCAAGTCACACCGACGTCTCTGCAGCAGCACGGACACGACCACGGCCTCGACCACAGCATCAAGTCACACCGACGTCTCTGCGGCAGCACGGACACGACCACGACCACGACCACAGCATCAAGTCACACCGACGTCTCTGCGGCAGCACGGACACGACCACGGCCACGACCACAGCATCAAGTCACACCGACGTCTCTGCGGCAGCACGGACACGACCACAGCATCAAGTCACACCGACGTCTCTGCGGCAGCACGGACACGACCACGGCCTCGACCACAGCATCAAGTCACACCGACGTCTCTGCGGCAGCACGGACACGACCACGGCCTCGACCACAGCATCAAGTCACACCGACGTCTCTGCGGCAGCACGGACACGACCACGACCACAGCATCAAGTCACACCGACGTCTCTGCAGCAGCACGGACACGACCACGGCCTCGACCACAGCATCAAGTCACACCGACGTCTCTGCGGCAGCACGGACACGACCACGACCACAGCATCAAGTCACACCGACGTCTCTGCGGCAGCACGGACACGACCACGGGCCACAGCATCAAGTCACACCAACGTCTCTGCGGCAGCACGGACACGACCACGACCACAGCATCAAGTCACACCGACGTCTCTGCGGCAGCACGGACACGACCACGACCGCGACCACAGCATCAAGTCACACCGACAACTCTGCGGCAGCACGGACACGACCACGACCACAGCATCAAGTCACACCGACGTCTCTGCGGCAGCACGGACACGACCACGACCACAGCATCAAGTCACACCGACGTCTCTGCGGCAGCACGGCCACGGCCACAGCATCAAGTCACACCGACGTCTCTGCGGCAGCACGGACACGACCACGGCCACGACCACAGCATCAAGTCACACCGACGACTCTGCGGCAGCACGGACACGACCACGGCCACAGCATCAAGTCACACCGACGTCTCTGCGGCAGCACGGACACGACCACGGCCTCGACCACAGCATCAAGTCACACCGACGTCTCTGCGGCAGCACGGACACGACCACGACCACGACCACAGCATCAAGTCACACCGACGTCTCTGCAGCAGCACGGACACGACCACGGCCTCGACCACAGCATCAAGTCACACCGACGTCTCTGCGGCAGCACGGACACGACCACGACCACGACCACAGCATCAAGTCACACCGACGTCTCTGCGGCAGCACGGACACGACCACGGCCACGACCACAGCATCAAGTCACACCGACGTCTCTGCGGCAGCACGGACACGACCACAGCATCAAGTCACACCGACGTCTCTGCGGCAGCACGGACACGACCACGGCCTCGACCACAGCATCAAGTCACACCGACGTCTCTGCGGCAGCACGGACACGACCACGGCCTCAACCACAGCATCAAGTCACACCGACGTCTCTGCGGCAGCACGGACACGACCACGGCCTCGACCACAGCATCAAGTCACACCGACGTCTCTGCGGCAGCACGGACACGACCACGGCCTCGACCACAGCATCAAGTCACACCGACGTCTCTGCGGCAGCACGGACACGACCACGGCCTCGACCACAGCATCAAGTCACACCGACGTCTCTGCGGCAGCACGGACACGACCACGGCCTCGACCACAGCATCAAGTCACACCGACGTCTCTGCGGCAGCACGGACACGACCACGGCCTCGACCACAGCATCAAGTCACACCGACGTCTCTGCGGCAGCACGGACACGACCACGACCACAGCATCAAGTCACACCGACGTCTCTGCAGCAGCACGGACACGACCACGGCCTCGACCACAGCATCAAGTCACACCGACGTCTCTGCGGCAGCACGGACACGACCACGACCACAGCATCAAGTCACACCGACGTCTCTGCGGCAGCACGGACACGACCACGACCACAGCATCAAGTCACACCGACGTCTCTGCGGCAGCACGGACACGACCACGACCACAGCATCAAGTCACACCGACGTCTCTGCGGCAGCACGGACACGACCACGACCACAGCATCAAGTCACACCGACGTCTCTGCGGCAGCACGACCACGACCACGACCACAGCATCAAGTCACACCGACGTCTCTGCGGCAGCACGGACACGACCACGACCACAACATCAAGTCACACCGACGTCTCTGCGGCAGCACGGACACGACCACGACCTCGACCACAGCATCAAGTCACACCAACGTCTCTGCGGCAGCACGGACACGACCACGACCACAGCATCAAGTCACACCGACGTCTCTGCGGCAGCACGGACACGACCACGACCTCGACCACAGCATCAAGTCACACCGACGTCTCTGCGGCAGCACGGACACGACCACGACCACAGCATCAAGTCACACCGACGTCTCTGCGGCAGCACGGACACGACCACGACCACAGCATCAAGTCACACCGACGTCTCTGCGGCAGCACGGACACAACCACGACCACAACATCAAGTCACACCGACGTCTCTGCGGCAGCACGGACACGACCACGACCACAGCATCAAGTCACACCGACGTCTCTGCGGCAGCACGGACACGACCACGACCACGACCACACCACAGCATCAAGTCACACCGACGTCTCTGCGGCAGCACGGACACGACCACGACCACAGCATCAAGTCACACCGACGTCTCTGCAGCAGCACGGACACGACCACGACCTCGACCACAGCATCAAGTCACACCGACGTCTCTGCGGCAGCACGGACACGACCACGGCCTCGACCACAGCATCAAGTCACACCGACGTCTCTGCGGCAGCACGGACACGACCACGGCCACGACCACAGCATCAAGTCACACCGACGTCTCTGCGGCAGCACGGACACAATCACAGCTATGACCACAACCACAGCAACATCTACGACCAAAATCATAGACTGTCACAGCGTGTCTCAGTGTGTGTAGTGTGTACAGTGTGTTGCAGTGTGTGCAGTGTGTTGCAGTGTGTACAGTGTGTTGCAGTGTGTACAGTGTGTTGCAGTGTGTACAGTGTGTTGCAGTGTGTACAGTGTGTTGCAGTGTGTACAGTGTGTTGCAGTGTGTACAGTGTGTAGCAGTGTGTACAGTGTGTTGCAGTGTGTACAGTGTGTAGCAGTGTGTACAGTGTGTTGCAGTGTGTACAGTGTGTTGCAGTGTGTACAGTGTGTAGCAGTGTGTAGCAGTGTGTAGCAGTGTGTACAGTGTGTTGCAGTGTGTACAGTGTGTTGCAGTGAGTACAGTGTGTTGCAGTGTGTACAGTGTGTTGCAGTGTGTACAGTGTGTTGCAGTGTGTACAGTGTGTTGCAGTGTTTACAGTGTGTACAGTGTGTTACGTATCTTACACAGGTCATTATCTGAAAATAAGCACCTTCAGGCGAAGCGGACACCGACCCCTGCGTAATATACGTTATCCCGCTTATTATACGGCTTTATACCAACAGAACACAACATAAACCTCAGTCACTTTTAGGAATGCCCAAAGGTTTATTTAAAATAAGAAAGAAAATAAAATAGTTCCCAAAGGCTTTCCCGTGGCTATGCTAGCACCATTAGGCTAACAACTTCCAAACTAGAACTCTCTGGAACTGTATGAAAACTGAACACAGAATCCTGAACATCAGCGGTGAGTGACCCAAACATAAACTTAACCTAAATCCATAATTCCATCCTCTGCAAATGTTCCTAAAATGTGCCGTATCTACTTCTGGGTTTTTCACCATCGCCTTTTCTCGTATTACATCAGTGTTTTTGTCATGAAAACGGAAACGGAACATTCTGAAAACTTCCTTGTATTAAGACTGTATATATATAATGTATTCTCCAGAACTACTGTCGGAGTTATCCACGCATCTGAGAGACAAGCAGAGAGTGCGTTGCCAAAGGGCAGTGGTCATTATTGTTTTGAAATGTCCGTTATAGAAAATAATGACCGGCAGAACGTTTGAAATGACATTCACATGAATGGTTCTCCTGCTGCTGTGAGGAGCGTGTGATAAAGTGTGTACAGTGTGTTGCAGTGTATTACTGTGTGTTGCAGTGTGTTGCAGTCCTCAGGGCAGGTGTAGCCGCAGGTTTTAGTTCCAGCCTGAGGAGTTATTTCTACAAATCTTCAGGTTAAAACTGGAGTCACCTGAGGAAGTGGGCGGAGTCTGGAGTCCCCAATGACTTAAGCCTAGCGTACACGGACAGAGAAACTGGAGACTAGTTGAAGGCGGCTTTTGGCGACTGAGGAGATGATGGAGATGATCAGTTGAAATCGGTCGATGTGAGCGCTCTTACAACTGGAGATAAACAGTCTGTCTCCAGTTTCAGTCAGTTGCCCGTGTTCTACTTTTCGGCAACTAGTTGTCCTCAGTTTCGGAGATATGACCCGATGTGCGCGCTCCATGCACCGCTCCGACAACGTGTGTGTATTGCGCCCGCAACAGTTTATGTCAGAAAACACACTGTAGTTGAGGCCAGTTGCTGTCGATGTACGGGCTGTTATTCAAGAGACTGGCCTGCTACTGGAGTTGCCCGTTTTCGTCAGGCAAGGCAAGTTTATTTGTATAGCACAATTCATACACAAGGCAACTCAAAGTGCTGAACAAAACAAGAAAGCATTAAAATCATAATCACAGAACATTAAAAAAAATTGAAACAAAAAAGATTAAAATATAAAATCCCTCAGTTGTAGCACAGCTAAACAGAGCTGTCTTTAACCTGGTTTTAAACATTGTCAGAGAGGAGGCCTGTCTCACATCTTCAGGAAGACTGTTCCAGATTTTAGCAGCATTAATCTGAAAAGCAGCCTCCCCATGTTTAGTTCTGACTCTGGGCACTAACAGGAGTCCAGTCCCTGTGCTCCTCAGAGTCCCAGCAGGAGTCCAGTCCCTGTGCTCCTCAGAGTCCCAGCAGGAGTCCAGTCCCTGTGCTCCTCAGAGTCCCAGCAGGAGTCCAGTCCCTGTGCTCCTCAGAGTCCCAGCAGGAGTCCAGTCCCTGTGCTCCTCAGAGTCCCAGCAGGAGTCCAGTCCCTGTGCTCCTCAGAGTCCCAGCAGGAGTCCAGTCCCTGTGCTCCTCAGAGTCCCAGCAGGAGGCCAGTCCCTGTGCTCCTCAGAGTCCCAGCAGGAGGCCAGTCCCTGTGCTCCTCAGAGTCCCAGCAGGAGTCCAGTCCCTGTGCTCCTCAGAGTCCCAGCAGGAGTCCAGTCCCTGTGCTCCTCAGAGTCCCAGCAGGAGTCCAGTCCCTGTGCTCCTCAGAGTCCCAGCAGGAGTCCAGTCCCTGTGCTCCTCAGAGTCCCAGCAGGAGGCCAGTCCCTGTGCTCCTCAGAGTCCCAGCAGGAGTCCAGTCCCTGTGCTCCTCAGAGTCCCAGCAGGAGGCCAGTCCCTGTGCTCCTCAGAGTCCCAGCAGGAGTCCAGTCCCTGTGCTCCTCAGAGTCCGGGCTGGTTCATATGGGACTAACATGTCACTAATATATTTTGGTGCGAGGCCATGGAGAGACTTGTAACAAGCAGAGCTGTTTTAAAGTCTATTCTCTGAGCCACAGGAAGCCAGTGCAGAGACCTGAGGACTGGACTAATGTGGTCGTACTTCCTGGTTCTAGTCAGGACTAATGTGGTCGTACTTCCTGGTTCTAGTCAGGACTAATGTGGTCGTACTTCCTGGTTCTAGTCAGGACTAATATGGTCGTACTTCCTGGTTCTAGTCAGGACTAATATGGTCGTACTTCCTGGTTCTAGTCAGGACTAATGTGGTCGTACTTCCTGGTTCTAGTCAGGACTAATGTGGTCGTACTTCCTGGTTCTAGTCAGGACTAATATGGTCGTACTTCCTGGTTCTAGTCAGGACTAATGTGGTCGTACTTCCTGGTTCTAGTCAGGACTAATGTGGTCGTACTTCCTGGTTCTAGTCAGGTCTAATGTGGTCGTACTTCCTGGTTCTAGTCAGGACTAATGTGGTCGTACTTCCTGGTTCTAGTCAGGACTAATATGGTCGTACTTCCTGGTTCTAGTCAGGACTAATGTGGTCGTACTTCCTGGTTCTAGTCAGGACTCGAGCTGCTGCATTTTGAATGTACTGCAGCTGTTTTACAGCCTGTTTGGACAGACCTGTGAGCAGGCCATTGCAGTAGTCTAACCTACTGGAGACAAATGCATGGATAAGAATCTCCAAGTCTGCTTTAGACACTATGTTTTTGATCCTGGAAATGTTTTTTAGATGGTAAAAAGCTGCTGATGTTACTGATTTGATGTGGCTATTAAAATTTAAGTCTGAGTCCAGTATTACCCCTAGATTTCTGACCTTGTTTGAAGGTTTTAGGGAGAGAGACTGTAGGTGACAGATGACGCTCTCTCTTTGTTTCTGGACCAAAGACAATCATTTCAGTTTTGTCTGCGTTTAGCTGAAGGAAGTTGTTTTGCATCCACTCACTGATCTGTTGGATACAGTGAAGGAGTGAGTCCACTGGTCCATGTTCTCCTGCAGTCAGTGAGACATAGATCTGAGTGTCGTCTGCATAGTTATGATAGGACACTTTGTTTCTGCGTATTAACTGACCTAACGGCAGCATGTAGAGATTGAACAGAAGAGGTCCCAGGATCGACCCCTGTGGGACTCCACAGGTCAGGGCCATATGATCTGAGACACAGTTTCCAATCTCCACAAAGTACTTCCTGTCTTCAAGGTAAGACCTAAACCAACTTAGGGCGGTGCCAGCGACTCCAACCCAGTCCTCTAGTCCAGTGTTTTTCAACCACTGTGCCGCGGCACACTAGTGTGCCGTATGATATTGTCTGGTGTGCCGTGAGAAATTCGTCTACTTTGTCTAAAAATAGCTGCATTCGCTGTTGACGAGCGGTGACTTGTTTTGAACTGTGGAGTAACCATGTAATACTTTTTCAAATCAGTAGATGGCAGCAGATAGCTAAGTACTTTGAAACTGAAAAATTGGATGCGACCACTGGCTGTAACAGGTCAGCATTGTGGCGAGAAAGGTAAAATTGGATGCGACCAACAAATGTGGGAGGGAGCGAGACAAGAGCTTTGTGGCGAGTGAGAAGTGAAAGTGATAGAGACGTTTTTGAAAATGAATTATGCCGTTTCTGAACAGGATTAACATCCTCCGCTCTGCCCCGGGGCAGCTGTGGCCGCGTTGTAGTGGTTTAACTATGAAATGTACAATTTTTGTACAACAGCTCTCGCGAACGCACTTCTGAACTGGGTACCGAGCGCAAACCATAGTCGAGTGGACAGAACCACAGACATGCGGACCGGACAGAACCATGGACTCGCGTTCAGGACCTCCCGTGTCCCTCATCCAAAACTCCTGAATTTAAAGCTCGGATACCTAAATGTTTCCCATGCACTAACAATGCATGTTCTTTGTGTGAGTTATTATTTGACTATTTGGGCAGAGAGTGGATTTTCTTAGTTTTTTTCCACACAGTTAGTGCCACTTTATTCCCAAACTCTTGTTAATTGTATCGAGAAATATTAAATAAAGCTTAATGTCAAGGCCTGGACTTAAGCATTTTGATGAGAATAACTGTATATTGTGAATATAGGCTGCAGAGTATACTGTATACATTATAAGATAAGATAAACTTTATATATCACACAGAGTATGTACAGTATATATTTTGTTACATTAGTACTGTATACATTTTTACATTTTCTCCTGGAGGTGTGCCGCAAGATTTTTTCAGTAAAAAAAGTGTGCCTTGGCTCAAAAAAGGTTGAAAAACACTGCTCCTAGTCTCTGTAAGAGGATCTCATGGTCGACAGTGTCAAAGGCAGCACTTAGATCTAACAAGATTAAGATTGAGACTTTGCCTGCGTCAGTGTTCAGCCGGATATCGTTTGTAACCTTAACGAGAGCAGTCTCAGTGCTGTGGTGGGGTCTAAAGCCGGACTGAAACATATCAAATGAGTTGTTGATTATAAGAAATCTAGTAAGCTGTAGGTAGACAACTTTCTCAAGGACTTTCCCCATAAATGGCAGATTTGAGATGGGACGATAGTTGTTAAGTACCGTAGCATCGAGACTGCTCTTTTTTAGCAGGGGCCTGATGACTGCAGTTTTCAGGGCCTTTGGGAATATTCCAGAATGAAGGGACATGTTTACTATCTGTGTGAGTGAAGGTAACAGACTGCTCAGAACAGACTTCAGAAATCTAGTGGGTAGTACATCCAGGCTGCATGTGGAGGAGCTCAAACTGGAGATTATCTCTTGGACAGTTTTATCATTTACAGGTGCAAAGTGAGTTAGCTCAGAGAGCCTTTCTGGCTGTTGGATGGTTAAATGTGGATTGGAGACAATGGCGTTTTTGATTCCTTGAACCTTGTCATTGAAAAAGTGTGCAAACTCATTGCATTTCGGTTTGGAAGTAAGCTCTAATGGCATCTGAACAGGGGGGTTTGTTAATCTATTAACTGTTGAAAACAGAACACGCAGATTGTTGCTGCAGCCTTCAATCATTTCAGAAAAATACCTTTCTCTCGTACTACGTAGCACCTGGTTAAACTCGCACAACTTATCTTTGAAGATCTCGTAATCAACCTGGAGGTTGGACTTGCGCCACTTCCGCTCGGCCCTCCGGCACTTTCTCTTTTGTGCCCTGACCGAGTCTGCTTTAGCCCACGGCGCCTTCTGCTTATTTTTCACTATTTTAACCTTCACAGGAGCGATGGTGTCCAGAACATTCAAAACACTAGAGGTGACAGAGTTAAACAGTTCATCTACAGTAGAACACGATGCATTCTCAAAGTTTATCATTCCCATAAATAGATCACTCGTATTTTCATTTATGTGTCTTCTTCGAAGATTGTCGAAGTGTGCGGGGCAGCAACTCATATGCGACGGATATAATCAGTTGCCAGTCCGATGTACGCTAGGCTTAATGGGCGGAGTCTGGAGTCCCTTATGGACCAATGGGCAGAGTCTGGAGTCCCTTATGGACCAATGGGCGGAGTCTGGAGTCCCTTATGGCAGTGTTTTTCAACCACTGTGCCGCGGCACACTAGTGTGCCGTATGATATTGTCTGGTGTGCCGTGAGAAATTCGTCTACTTTGTCTAAAAATAGCTGCATTCGCTGTTGACGAGCGGTGACTTGTTTTGAACTGTGGAGTAACCATGTAATACTTTTTCAAATCAGTAGATGGCAGCAGATAGCTAAGTACTTTGAAACTGAAAAATTGGATGCGACCACTGGCTGTAACAGGTCAGCATTGTGGCGAGAAAGGTAAAATTGGATGCGACCAACAAATGTGGGAGGGAGCGAGACAAGAGCTTTGTGGCGAGTGAGAAGTGAAAGTGATAGAGACGTTTTTGAAAATGAATTATGCCGTTTCTGAACAGGATTAACATCCTCCGCTCTGCCCCGGGGCAGCTGTGGCCGCGTTGTAGTGGTTTAACTATGAAATGTACCATTTTTGTACAACAGCTCTCGCGAACGCACTTCTGAACTGGGTACCGAGCGCAAACCATAGTCGAGTGGACAGAACCACAGACATGCGGACCGGACAGAACCATGGACTCGCGTTCAGGACCTCCCGTGTCCCTCATCCAAAACTCCTGAATTTAAAGCTCGGATACCTAAATGTTTCCCATGCACTAACAATGCATGTTCTTTGTGTGAGTTATTATTTGACTATTTGGGCAGAGAGTGGATTTTCTTAGTTTTTTTCCACACAGTTAGTGCCACTTTATTCCCAAACTCTTGTTAATTGTATCGAGAAATATTAAATAAAGCTTAATGTCAAGGCCTGGACTTAAGCATTTTGATGAGAATAACTGTATATTGTGAATATAGGCTACAGAGTATACTGTATACATTATAAGATAAGATAAACTTTATATATCACACAGAGTATGTACAGTATATATTTTTTTACATTAGTACTGTATACATTTTTACATTTTCTCCTGGAGGTGTGCCGCAAGATTTTTTCAGTAAAAAGTGTGCCTTGGCTCAAAAAAGGTTGAAAAACACTGCCTTATGGACCATTGGGCGTAGTCTGGAGTCCCTTATGGACCAATGGGCGGAGTCTGGAGTCCCTGATGGACCAATGGGCGGAGTCTGGAGTCCCTTATGGACCAATGGGCGGAGTCTGGAGTCCCTGATGGACCAATGGGCGGAGTCTGGAGTCCCTGATGGACCAATGGCTGTGTTTTAATTATTGCATTTCCTGTGTTTGAACAGTTTGATTCTCTAATCTGTGTTGGAGAATTCAAGGTTTTAGTCCTCAGAGACACTACTGTTGAGATTTAGGACGATACAAGAACAAACGCAGCCACACATGCAGCCACACACGCGCAGACGCACACACGCGCAGACGCAGACACACACGCAGACACACACGCAGACACACACGCAGACACACACGCAGACACACACGCAGACACACCTGCAGACACACCTGCAGACACCCCTGCAGACACACACGCAGACACACACGCAGACACACACGCAGACACACACGCAGACACACCTGCAGACACACCTGCAGACACACCTGCAGACACACACGCAGACACACACGCAGACACACACGCAGACACACACGCAGACACACACGCAGACACACCTGCAGACACACCTGCAGACACACCTGCAGACACCCCTGCAGACACACACGCAGACACACACGCAGACACACACGCAGACACACACGCAGACACACACGCAGACACACCTGCAGACACACCTGCAGACACACCTGCAGACACACCTGCAGACACCCCTGCAGACACACACGCAGACACACACGCAGACACACACGCAGACACACCTGCAGACACACAAGCAGACACACCTGCAGACAGACACACAGACACACCTGCAGACACACACGCAGACACACCTGCAGACACACCTGCAGACACACACGCAGACACACACCTGCAGACACACACGCAGACACACACCTGCAGACACACACGCAGACACACCTGCAGACACAGCTGCAGACACACACGCAGACACACACGCAGACACACCTACAGCCACACCTGCAGACACACCTGCAGACACACACGCAGACACAGCCACACCTGCAGACACACACGCAGACACAGCCACACCTGCAGACACACCTGCAGACACACCTGCAGACGCAGCCACACCTGCAGACACACACGCACACGCAGCCACACACCTGCAGACACACACCTGCAGACACACACCTGCAGACACACACCTGCAGACACACCTGCAGACGCAGCCACACCTGCAGACACACACGCACACGCAGCCACACACCTGCAGACACACACCTGCAGACACACACCTGCAGACACACACCTGCAGACACACACGCAGACACACACGCAGACACAGCCACACCTGCAGACACACCTGCAGACACACCCGCAGACACACCTGCAGACACACCTGCAGACACACCCGCAGACACACACGCAGACACACACCTGCAGACACACACCTGCAGACACACACCTGCAGACACACACCTGCAGACACACACCTGCAGACACACCTGCAGACACACCCGCAGACACACCCGCAGACACACCCGCAGACACACCCGCAGACACACCCGCAGACACACCCGCAGACACACCCGCAGACACACCCGCAGACACACCCGCAGACACACACGCAGACACACACCTGCAGACACACACCTGCAGACACACACCTGCAGACACACCTGCAGACACACACCTGCAGACACACCTGCAGACACACACGCAGACACACCTGCAGACACACCTGCAGACACACCCGCAGACACACACGCAGACACACACGCAGACACACACGCAGACACACCCGCAGACACACCCGCAGACACACCCGCAGACACACCTGCAGACACACACGCAGACACACACCTGCAGACACACACCTGCAGACACACCTGCAGACACACACCTGCAGACACACCTGCAGACACACACCTGCAGACACATGAAGGACACACACCAGGAACAGAAGCAATGCCGATGGTTGTGACGGTGTGAAAAGCACAGATGCCCTCCCACGGCAGACTCCCAGCTCTGATCATCTCCTTGTTTGCAGACACACTCTCATGCTAATGTGGCGTACGGCACAGAACAGATGAATTATGGAGGGATTTAAATAATAAATGGTTCTTTCTCAAACAGACGCCTGAAGGGAGGGGGGAGAGGGGGGTGAGGGGGGTGAGGGGGGTGAGGGGGGGAGACAACCAGGGAGGTGGGACACTTACAATCCATCGACTACAGGCAAAGAAGTGGGACATTTATGAATAATCTCACACCACGTCCATTATCAGAGTCACAGGAAGGATTCTACAGAGGGATCTCGACCACACAGGGATCTCGACCACACAGGGATCTCAACCACACAGGGATCTCGACCACACAGGGATCTCGACCACACAGGGATCTCAACCACACAGGGATCTCGACCACACAGGGATCTCAACCACACAGGGATCTCGACCACACACAGGGATCTCGACCACACAGGGATCTCGACCACACAGGGATCTCAACCACACAGGGATCTCGAACACACACAGGGATCTCGACCACACAGGGATCTCAAACACACACAGGGATCTCGACCACACAGGGATCTCGACCACACAGGGATCTCAACCACACAGGGATCTCGACCACACAGGGATCTCGACCACACAGGGATCTCGACCACACAGGGATCTCGAACACACACAGGGATCTCGACCACACAGGGATCTCGACCACACAGAGGGATCTCGACCACACAGGGATCTCGACCACACAGGGATCTCGACCACACAGAGGGATCTCGACCACACAGGGATCTCGACCACACAGGGATCTCGACCACAGGGATCTCGACCACACAGGGATCTCGAACACAGGGATCTCGACCACAGAGGGATCTCGAACACAGAGGGATCTCGACCACAGGGATCTCGACCACAGAGGGATCTCGACCACAGGGATCTCGACCACAGGGACCTCGACCACACAGGGATCTCGACCACAGGGACCTCGACCACACAGGGATCTCGACCACACAGAGGGATCTCGACCACACAGGGATCTCGACCACACAGAGGGATCTTGACCACAGGGATCTCGACCACAGGGATCTCGACCACACAGGGATCTCGACCACAGGGATCTCGAACACAGGGATCTCGAACACAGAGGGATCTCGACCACAGGGATCTCGACCACAGGGATCTCGACCACAGGGATCTCGACCACACAGGGATATCGAACACACACAGGGATCTCGACCACAGGGATCTCGACCACACAGGGATCTCGACCACAGGGATCTCGACCACAGGGATCTCGACCACACAGGGATCTCGACCACAGGGATCTCGACCACAAAGGGATCTCGACCACACAGGGATCTCGACCACACAGGGATCTCGACCACACAGGGATCTCGACCACACAGGGATCTCGACCACACAGAGGGATCTCGACCACACAGGGATCTCGACCACAGGGATCTCGACCACACAGGGATCTCGACCACACAGGGATCTCGACCACAGGGATCTCGACCACAGAGGGATCTCGAACACAGAGGGATCTCGAACGCACAGGGATCTCGACCGCACAGGGATCTCGACCGCACAGGGATCTCGACCGCACAGGGATCTCGACCACAGGTCATGTGACTGATCCAGGCTCCTACCACTGAGACGTGGTAGAACAGCTGCAGTCATTTTGACTGCTCAGAGCTGGTTCAGTGTAAGAATCAGAGACAAACACTTACTTTGGACAGGACTGGATTAATTTAAGCTTTTTACTTCATCCTTTTTCAAACTAAATCAAAGACATTTAGACTTTAATTATTCACAAATATGTGAAACATTTCATCATCAATATGACATTAATCTGAATGTTTCAATGCTCTCTGGTCTCTCGCTCTGGTCTCTCGCTCTGGTCTCTCGCTCTGGTCTCTCGCTCTGGTCTCTCGCTCTGGTCTCTCGCTCTGGTCTCTCGCTCTGGTCTCTCGCTCTGGTCTCTCGCTCTGGTCTCTCGCTCTGGTCTCTCTCTCTGGTCTCTCTCTCTGGTCTCTCTCTCTGGTCTCTCTCTCTGGTCTCTCTCTCTGGTCTCTCTCTCTGGTCTCTCTCTCTGGTCTCTCTCTCTGGTCTCTCTCTCTGGTCTCTCTCTCTGGTCTCTCTCTGGTCTCTCTCTCTGGTCTCTCCTATAGCGACAGAGTAACTCTTTAGAGTATTGTTTATTTATATAGCGCATGTTACAGACCAAGGTACAGACCCAAAGGTACAGACCAAGGTACAGACCCAAAGGTACAGACCAAGGTACGGACCCACAGGTACGGACCCAAAGCACTTTCCAATGTTCAGAGTCAGATATTGTTCCAATCCTTCCACACACGATGATGACAGAAGCGAGTCCAGAACACACTGGACCATCAAAGCCTCTGACCCAACACCACCATTCACTCTCTCATTTACATTCAGACCTATTGTGCATGTTTTTAGTGGTAGGGGAAACCGGAGCACCCGGAGGAAACCTGCACAGACACAGGGAGAACATGCAAACTTCACTCAGAAACATCCTGTCCTGACCGGGTTTCGAACCCACGTCCTTCTTGCTCAGAGGCGAGAGTGCTAACCACTCAGCCACCGCGCGGTTAAAACATTATCATTATTGATATTATTATTATCATGACGGTTTTATCTGTATCTTTATTGCAGGTGGAGCACTGACTTCCTGACGGACAGGAAGCAGCGAGTGCGTCTGGCATTATTTTCTGTAATGTACTGATAAACATTAGACTTTCATATATTTATGATTCATTTCGACAGTAGCTCAGTTGGTAGAGCATTGGCCTTAAGCCCAGAAGGTTGTGGGTTCAATTCCCACCTCTGCACCTTCTCCACCGACTCCCACTGATGACTCCTGTCGTTGTGTCCTTGGGCAAGACACTTCACCCCACTTTGCCCAAAGCCCCCACTGAAAGATCAAGGCTATGCTCACACTCAGAGAGCAGCCGTCCTCCTGTGGACTCACCACCTGCAGAGGGTCAGTGAGGGGCTGGTGCTATGAGACTTGGGTGGCATCTCTGACTGCCACCCCCCTGACCCAGAAATGGATTAAAGGGAAGAAGATGGATGGATGGAAAATGGATGGATGGATTTTGGCAAAAAAGTAAAGAAAAAACTAAAATTCCTATCTCAGAAAATCAGCATATTTCATCCGACCAATAAAAGAAGTGGTGTATGGAGGCCTTCAGGTGCTATGGAGACCTTCAGGTGCTATGGAGACCTTCAGGTGCTATGGAGACCTTCAGGTGCTATGGAGACCTTCAGGTGCTATGGAGACCTTCAGGTGCTATGGAGACCTTCAGGTGCTATGGAGACCTTCAGGTGCTATGGAGACCTTCAGGTGTTATGGAGACCTTCAGGTGCTATGGAGACCTTCAGGTGTTATGGAGACCTTCAGGTGCTATGGAGACCTTCAGGTGCTATGGAGGCTTTCAGGTGCTATGGAGGCCTTCAGGTGCTATGGAGGCTTTCAGGTGCTATGGAGGCCTTCAGGTGCTATGGAGGCCTTCAAGTGCTATGGAGACCTTCAGGTGCTATGGAGACCTTCAGGTGCTATGGAGGCCTTCAGGTGCTATGGAGACCTTCAGGTGCTATGGAGACCTTCAGGTGCTATGGAGGCCTTCAGGTGCTATGGAGACCTTCAGGTGTTATGGAGACCTTCAGGTGCTATGGAGGACTTCAGGTGCTATGGAGACCTTCAGGTGCTATGCAGGCCTTCAGGTGCTATGGAGACCTTCAGGTGCTATGCAGGCCTTCAGGTGCTATGGAGACCTTCAGGTGCTATGCAGGCCTTCAGGTGCTATGGAGACTTTCAGGTGCTATGCAGGCCTTCAGGTGCTATGCAGGCCTTCAGGTGCTATGCAGGCCTTCAGGTGCTATGCAGGCCTTCAGGTGCTATGCAGGCCTTCAGGTGCTATGCAGGCCTTCAGGTGCTATGCAGGCCTTCAGGTGCTATGGAGACCTTCAGGTGCTATGGAGACCTTCAGGTGCTATGGAGACCTTCAGGTGCTATGGAGACCTTCAGGTGCTATGGAGACCTTCAGGTGCTATGGAGACCTTCAGGTGCTATGGAGACCTTCAGGAGCTATGGAGGCCTTCAGGTGCTATGGAGACCTTCAGGTGCTATGGAGACCTTCAGGTGTTATGGAGACCTTCAGGTGCTATGGAGGCCTTCAGGTGCTATGGAGGCTTTCAGGTGCTATGGAGACCTTCAGGTGCTATGGAGACCTTCAGGTGTTATGGAGACCTTCAGGTGCTATGGAGGCCTTCAGGTGCTATGGAGGCTTTCAGGTGCTATGGAGGACTTCAGGTGCTATGGAGACCTTCAGGTGGTATGCAGGCTTATTGTTTCAATAATATTTGTGTGTGCGTAAAAAGATTTGTGCGTGCGTAACCAGATTTGTGCGTGCGTAACCAGATTTGTGCGTGCGTAACCAGATTTGTGCGTGCGTAACCAGATTTGTGTGTGCGTAACCAGATTTGTGCGTGCGTAACCAGATTTGTGCGTGCGTAACCAGATTTGTGTGTGCGTAACCAGATTTGTGCGTGCGTAACCAGATTTGTGTGTGTGTAAAAGAAATATTTGTGCGTGTGTAAATAGATTTGTATGTACGTATCAAGATTTGTGTGTGCGTAAAAAGGTTTGTGTGTGCGTAGAAAGATTTGTGTGTGTGTAAAGAAAAAAAAAAGTAAGTTTTACAGCTCTGGAGCAGACTGAGGTGATACAGCTCTGGAGCAGACTGAGGTGATACAGCTCTCTGGAGCAGACTGAGGTGATACAGCTCTGGAGCAGACTGAGGTGATACAGCTCTGGAGCAGACTGAGGTGATACAGCTCTCTGGAGCAGACTGAGGAGATACAGCTCTGGAGCAGACTGAGGAGATACAGCTCTCTGGAGCAGACTGAGGTGATACAGCTCTGGAGCAGACTGAGGTGATACAGCTCTCTGGAGCAGACTGAGGAGATACAGCTCTGGAGCAGACTGAGGTGATACAGCTCTGGAGCAGACTGAGGTGATACAGCTCTGGAGCAGACTGAGGTGATACAGCTCTGGAGCAGACTGAGGTGATACAGCTCTGGAGCAGACTGAGGTGATACAGCTCTCTGGAGCAGACTGAGGAGATACAGCTCTGGAGCAGACTGAGGTGATACAGCTCTGGAGCAGACTGAGGTGATACAGCTCTGGAGCAGACTGAGGTGATACAGCTCTGGAGCAGACTGAGGAGATACAGCTCTCTGGAGCAGACTGAGGAGATACAGCTCTGGAGCAGACTGAGGAGATACAGCTCTCTGGAGCAGACTGAGGTGATACAGCTCTGGAGCAGACTGAGGTGATACAGCTCTGGAGCAGACTGAGGAGATACAGCTCTGGAGCAGACTGAGGTGATACAGCTCTGGAGCAGACTGAGGTGATACAGCTCTGGAGCAGACTGAGGTGATACAGCTATGGAGCAGACTGAGGTGATACAGCTCTGGAGCAGACTGAGGTGATACAGCTCTGGAGCAGACTGAGGTGATACAGCTCTGGAGCAGACTGAGGTGATACAGCTCTGGAGCAGACTGAGGTGATACAGCTCTGGAGCAGACTGAGGTGATACAGCTCTGGAGCAGACTGAGGTGATACAGCTCTGGAGCAGACTGAGGTGATACAGCTCTGGAGCAGACTGAGGTGATACAGCTCTGGAGCAGACTGAGGTGATACAGCTCTGGAGCAGACTGAGGTGATACAGCTCTGGAGCAGACTGAGGTGATACAGCTCTGGAGCAGACTGAGGTGATACAGCTCTGGAGCAGACTGAGGTGATACAGTTTTCTGGAGAGTGTCTCTTCTGCAGGTGTTTAGAGTTAATCCGTTGGTTCAGATGATTCGGTTTATGGTTCCTTTATGGTTCCTTTTCATGATATTCCAATTTTCTGAGATACGAATTTTTTATTTTTCTTTACTTTTTTGCCAAATTCATCAATATAAAAATAATAAAGGCTTGAACTACTTCAGTTGTGTGTAAGGAATATAAAATATATGAAAGTCTAATGTTTATCAGGGTGCTGCTGTGAGGGTGCTGCTGTGAGGGTGCTGCTGTGAGGGTGCTGCTGTGAGGGTGCTGCTGTGAGGGTGCTGCTGTGAGGGTGCTGCTGTGAGGGTGCTGCTGTGGGTGCTGGGCTGCTGTGAGGGTGCTGCTGTGAGGGTGCTGCTGTGAGGGTGCTGCTGTGAGGGTGCTGCTGTGCGGGTGCTGCTGTGAGGGTGCTGCTGTGAGGGTGCTGCTGTGAGGGTGCTGCTGTGAGGGTGCTGCTGTGCGGGTGCTGCTGTGAGGGTGCTGCTGTGAGGGTGCTGCTGTGAGGGTGCTTGGGTGAGGGTGCTTGGGTGAGGGTGCTTGGGTGAGGGTGCTCGGGTGAGGGTGCTTGGGGGACACTCACCAGCCCAGATCTCTTGTACGAGGCTGTGGTCGTCTGCAACAGAAACAAACACATTGTTTTTAAACATTTTAAATATTCAGATGTTTATGGGTTTTTTAAAAGTCTGTGAGGACCAGGACCAGGACCAGAACCAGGGCCAGGGCCAGGACCAGGACCAGGACAGGACCAGGACCAGGACCAGGACCAGGGCCAGGGCCAGGGCCAGGGCCAGGGCCAGGGCCAGGGCCAGGGCCAGGACCAGGGCCAGGACCAGGGCCAGGACCATCACATCAGTGAGGACTAAAGGTCAAAGCTGGTGGTCTCTGGTCTAGACCAGCCCTGGGCAAAGTGCGGCCTGGGGGCCACATGCGGCCTGATTCTATGTGGCCCGTGGACCTTTCCCCAGTCCAATGAATGAGACTCACGCTGAATGCTTCCGACTTAATCCTCGACGGCTCTTTATAAAGAATGGCTTCAGGAATAATCTGTTCCTTTAACGACTTTTCATTTGATCCTGTGTCTCCTACAGCCGCAAAACCACCTCGCACACAGACGCTGGAGCCTCAGAGCCGCCGCTACTCTCTATATTCTGTGTATTCTGTGTATTCTGTATATTCTGTATATTCTGTGTTATCGTGGCTCAAACACTTGATGGATTTCGCAGACGCACAATACTCCGAGAAACACTTCAAAGGCTTCGTCTAATCTGCTTCTGCTGCGAATATAATGTTTAAGATCCTGCTTCCACAGCGTTCTCCGAGGACGAGGATGAGTGCGGGGGAGGGGTGGATGTGTATCTGTGGGGGAGGGGTGGATGTGTATCTGTGGGGGAGGGGTGGATGTGTATCTGTGGGGGGGGGGATGTGTATCTGTGGGGGGGGGGGTGGATGTGTATCTGTGGGGGGGGGGGGGTGGATGTGTATCTGTGGGGGGGGGGTGGATGTGTATCTGTGGGGGGGGGGGGGTGGTGGATGTGTATCTGTGGGGGGGGGGTGGATGTGTATCTGTGGGGGGGGGGGGGGGTGTGGATGTGTGTGTATCTGTGGGGGGGGGGGTGTATCTGTGAGGGGGGGGGGTGTATCTGTGAGGGGGGGGGGGTGGATGTATCTGTGAGGGGGGGGGGTGGATGTGTATCTGTGGGGGGGGGGTGGATGTGTATCTGTGGGGGGGGGGGTGGATGTGTATCTGTGGGGGGGGGGGGGGGGGGGGTGGATGTGTATCTGTGGGGGGGGGGGGGGTGGATGTATCTGTGAGGGGGGGGGGGGGGTGATGTATCTGTGGGGGGGGGGTGGGGATGTGTATCTGTGGGGGGGGGGGGGGTGTATCTGTGGGGGGGGGTTGCAGTGACAGCACAGTGACCTAGTTTCCTTGTGGCCCAGAAAGATCAAACATGACTCCCTCAAAAGAGCTACAGGCACAAAACCTGGTTCACTGCCTCCTGTTAGCATGGCTTTGGTTAGCATGGCTTTGGTTAGCATGGCTTTGGTTAGCATGGCTTTGGTTAGCATGGCTTTGGTTAGCAGGCTTTGGTTAGCATGGCTTTGGTTAGCATGGCTTTGGTTAGCATGGCTTTGGTTAGCATGGATTTGGTTAGCATGGATTGTTAGCATGTTTGGTTAGCATGGCTTTGGTTAGCATGGCATGGTTTGGTTAGCATGGCTTTGGTTAGCATGGCTATAGTTAGCATGGCTTTGGTTAGCATGGCTTTGGTTAGCATGGATTTGGTTAGCATGGCTTTAGTTAGCATGGATTTGGTTAGCATGGCTTTGGTTAGCATGGCTTTGGTTAGCATGGCTTTGGTTAGCATGGCTTTGGTTAGCATGGCTTGGTTAGCATGGCTTTGGTTAGCATGGCTTTGGTTAGCATGGCTTTGGTTAGCATGGCTTTGGTTAGCATGGCTTTGGTTAGCATGGCTTTGGTTAGCATGGCTTTGGTTAGCATGGCTTTGGTTAGCATGGCTTTGGTTAGCATGGCTTTGGTTAGCATGGCTTTGGTTAGCATGGCTTTGGTTAGCATGGCTTTGGTTAGCATGGCTTTGGTTAGCATGGCTTTGGTTAGCATGGCTTTGGTTAGCATGGCTTTGGTTAGCATGGCTTTGGTTAGCATGGCTTTGGTTAGCATGGCTTTGGTTAGCATGGCTTTGGTTAGCATGGCTTTGGTTAGCATGGCTTTTAGGTTAGCATGGCTTTGGTTAGCATGGCTTTGGTTAGCATGGCTTTGGTTAGCATGGCTTTGGTTAGCATGGCTTTGGTTAGCATGGCTTTGGTTAGCATGGCTTTGGTTAGCATGGCTTTGGTTAGCATGGCTTTGGTTAGCATGGCTTTGGTTAGCATGGCTTTGGTTAGCATGGCTTTGGTTAGCATGGCTTTGGTTAGCATGGCTTTGGTTAGCATGGCTTTGGTTAGCATGGCTTTGGTTAGCATGGCTTTGGTTAGCATGGCTTTGGTTAGCATGGCTTTGGTTAGCATGGCTTTGGTTAGCATGGCTTTGGTTAGCATGGCTTTGGTTAGCATGGATTTGGTTAGCATGGCTTTGGTTAGCATGGATTTGGTTAGCATGGCTTTGGTTAGCATGGATTTGGTTAGCATGGCTTTGGTTAGCATGGATTTGGTTAGCATGGCTTTGGTTAGCATGGCTTTGGTTAGCATGGCTTTGGTTAGCATGGCTTTGGTTAGCATGGATTTGGTTAGCATGGATTTGGTTAGCATGGATTTGGTTAGCATGGCTTTGGTTAGCATGGCTTTGGTTAGCATGGATTTGGTTAGCATGGCTTTGGTTAGCATGGCTTTGGTTAGCATGGCTTTGGTTAGCATGGCTTTGGTTAGCATGGCTTTGGTTAGCATGGCTTTGGTTAGCATGGCTTTGGTTAGCATGGCTTTGGTTAGCATGGCTTTGGTTAGCATGGCTTTGGTTAGCATGGCTTTGGTTAGCATGGCTTTGGTTAGCATGGCTTTGGTTAGCATGGCTTTGGTTAGCATGGCTTTGGTTAGCATGGCTTTGGTTAGCATGGCTTTGGTTAGCATGGCTTTGGTTAGCATGGCTTTGGTTAGCATGGCTTTGGTTAGCATGGCTTTGGTTAGCATGGCTTTGGTTAGCATGGCTTTGGTTAGCATGGCTTTGGTTAGCATGGCTTTGGTTAGCATGGCTTTGGTTAGCATGGCTTTGGTTAGCATGGCTTTGGTTAGCATGGCTTTGGTTAGCATGGCTTTGGTTAGCATGGCTTTGGTTAGCATGGCTTTGGTTAGCATGGCTTTGGTTAGCATGGCTTTGGTTAGCATGGCTTTGGTTAGCATGGCTTTGGTTAGCATGGCTTTGGTTAGCATGGCTTTGGTTAGCATGGCTTTGGTTAGCATGGCTTTGGTTAGCATGGATTTGGTTAGCATGGCTTTGGTTAGCATGGATTTGGTTAGCATGGCTTTGGTTAGCATGGCTTTGGTTAGCATGGCTTTGGTTAGCATGGCTTTGGTTAGCATGGCTTTGGTTAGCATGGATTTGGTTAGCATGGCTTTGGTTAGCATGGCTTTGGTTAGCATGGCTTTGGTTAGCATGGCTTTGGTTAGCATGGCTTTGGTTAGCATGGCTTTGGTTAGCATGGCTTTGGTTAGCATGGCTTTGGTTAGCATGGCTTTGGTTAGCATGGCTTTGGTTAGCATGGATTTGGTTAGCATGGCTTTGGTTAGCATGGATTTGGTTAGCATGGCTTTGGTTAGCATGGATTTGGTTAGCATGGCTTTAGTTAGCATGGATTTGGTTAGCATGGCTTTGGTTAGCATGGCTTTGGTTAGCATGGCTTTGGTTAGCATGGCTTTGGTTAGCATGGCTTTGGTTAGCATGGCTTTGGTTAGCATGGCTTTGGTTAGCATGGCTTTGGTTAGCATGGCTTTGGTTAGCATGGCTTTGGTTAGCATGGCTTTGGTTAGCATGGCTTTGGTTAGCATGGCTTTGGTTAGCATGGCTTTGGTTAGCATGGCTTTGGTTAGCATGGCTTTGGTTAGCATGGCTTTGGTTAGCATGGCTTTGGTTAGCATGGCTTTGGTTAGCATGGCTTTGGTTAGCATGGCTTTGGTTAGCATGGCTTTGGTTAGCATGGCTTTGGTTAGCATGGCTTTGGTTAGCATGGCTTTGGTTAGCATGGCTTTGGTTAGCATGGCTTTGGTTAGCATGGCTTTGGTTAGCATGGCTTGTTAGCATGGATTTGGTTAGCATGGCTTTGGTTAGCATGGCTTTGGTTAGCATGGCTTTAGTTAGCATGGCTTTGGTTAGCATGGCTTTGGTTAGCATGGATTTGGTTAGCATGGCTTTGGTTAGCATGGCTTTGGTTAGCATGGATTTGGTTAGCATGGCTTTGGTTAGCATGGCTTTGGTTAGCATGGCTTTGGTTAGCATGGCTTTGGTTAGCATGGATTTGGTTAGCATGGCTTTGGTTAGCATGGCTTTGGTTAGCATGGCTTTGGTTAGCATGGATTTGGTTAGCATGGCTTTGGTTAGCATGGCTTTGGTTAGCATGGCTTTGGTTAGCATGGCTTTGGTTAGCATGGATTTGGTTAGCATGGCTTTGGTTAGCATGGCTTTGGTTAGCATGGCTTTGGTTAGCATGGATTTGGTTAGCATGGCTTTGGTTAGCATGGCTTTGGTTAGCATGGCTTTGGTTAGCATGGCTTTGGTTAGCATGGCTTTGGTTAGCATGGCTTTGGTTAGCATGGCTATAGTTAGCATGGCTTTGGTTAGCATGGCTTTGGTTAGCATGGCTTTGGTTAGCATGGCTTTGGTTAGCATGGCTTTGGTTAGCATGGCTTTGGTTAGCATGGCTTTGGTTAGCATGGCTTTGGTTAGCATGGCTTTGGTTAGCATGGCTTTGGTTAGCATGGCTTTGGTTAGCATGGCTTTGGTTAGCATGGCTATGGTTAGCATGGCTTTGGTTAGCATGGCTTTGGTTAGCATGGCTTTGGTTAGCATGGCTTTGGTTAGCATGGCTTTGGTTAGCATGGCTTTGGTTAGCATGGCTTTGGTTAGCATGGCTTTGGTTAGCATGGCTTTGGTTAGCATGGCTTTGGTTAGCATGGCTTTGGTTAGCATGGCTTTGGTTAGCATGGCTTTGGTTAGCATGGCTTTGGTTAGCATGGCTTTAGGTTAGCATGGCTTTGGTTAGCATGGCTTTGGTTAGCATGGCTTTGGTTAGCATGGCTTTGGTTAGCATGGCTTTGGTTAGCATGGCTTTGGTTAGCATGGCTTTGGTTAGCCTCAGCCGTACACAGCCGTGTACACAGCCTCAGAGTACACAGCCTCAGAGTACACAGCCTCAGCCGTACAGAGGCGTATTCAGCCGTACACAGCTTCAGTGTACACAGCCTCAGCCGTACACAGCTTCAGTGTACACAGCCTCAGCCGTACACAGCTTCAGTGTACACAGCCGTACACATCATCCCTCGCCACAAACATGTGACATAAACAAAATGGCGGCGGATGCGTCTTCAGCAGAGACAGAAGATCTTCTGGTCCAAACACAGCTGTAGTTTCTGTTTCTCTGGTTTGAGGAGGAAGTGGTTATACTGCTGGGGGTAAAGTTCCACTGCCCCCTACTGGCCACACACTGGAACTACATCGTTTACCGTCACCGTGTGGACGCTTAGCCTGAGTAAGTCCTCTTTAATTATATAGCACCAGTTCTCACAGGGCAGAGTGACAGGAGAGGCACCACATTCAGCCTGATGTAGGTTTTAGAAGAAACCGGAGCACCTGGAGGAAACTGAATTCAAACGCTCGGCTTATGCATGTGGAGGATGGAACTGATCACACTGAGGCTGATCTCAGATAAAGTGTGACACAAATGTATTTTAGGAACAGATAAGAACAGAAGAAAGATCCAAAGAGCCGCAGGTAAAAGATGAAAACTCCTCACTCTGACTCCTCCCACCTCCTCCCACCTCCTCCCACCTCCTCCCTCCCCCTGCAGGTTATCGACTGAAGGTTAGAGATGGAGATGGTATCACACGACACACATTAAAACAACAAAGAGGAGCCGGAGGATGATGGTCCAAACCCAGACGATAGCGATCATGCTAATATTATGCTAGTATCATGCTAATATTATGCTAGTATCATGCTAACATGAAGGCGTTAAAGGGGAGGAGACGATTTCACACACGGACAAACACCACCGACCACTTCATCTGAAAACTCTGGACAACAACTTTCAACAAACTCCCTTTGAAGCAGACTTGTTTCCTCTCTGCTGGATTTTAATACATTTGCAAGAATCTCAAAACAGCTTTTTCATGTTGTCATTATGGGTTAGGGTTAGGGTATATATATATATATATATATATATATATATATATATATATATATATATGTATAATTATGGGCTGCAGTGTAGAATTGTGAGGAAACAAATGAATTGTGTCCATTTTGGAATAAGGCTGTGACATGTGTGAGAAAGTGAAACTGTGAATACTTTTCGGACGCACTGAATTTACAGTAAATATATCTATAATAAAAATAGTACTAATTAAAGCCGCAAGCGGCGTCAAACGGCCCTCGCCGCACCGCGCGACTCCCTGCACCACGCGCACTGCCTGCACCACGCCGCTCCACAACGCTCCGCACTACGAAGGAGGTGGCACCGCCGTGTGGTGATTTGTTCCCGTAGCCATAGAAGATTGTTAGTCAAATTGTAATGAATATAATAAGTAGAGCTGGTTTGGCTCTCCATGTAAACTTTGACTCAGTCTGTAGGGGGCGCTAATGGGCCAATTTCAAATATTTCACTTTCACCTGACCTAAACCCTGGAATTGAACAATGGATTGAAGTTTAATCAGACTTTGTTTGTGCATAGGGAAAAAAAATAATGTCAAAAACGGCCAAAAAAACCCTCACATTTTGCCGCTCCGCTGCTCAAACAATGTTTCACTGATCAAAATTCCCTGAGGTCATTTTGAAGGTACATGTGTTGAGATGATGTGGAGCGATTTTGAGGCCAATCGGTGAAACGGCCGAGGAGGAGTCGCTTTCCAACCGACATGTATGAAAACTTTTGCTGTTCATTTTTCCATTTTGCAGTGAAATTTATGGGCTTCCTGTTTGTCAGAGGGCGGAGCCATGATAACATTTCGGTCGTATCTTGACTTGAGGAACATGTGTACCGAATTTCATGGCTCTACGACAAACTTGACCTCTGAAACTCCCATTGGCTGTTGTAGGTGGCGCTGTTCTGGCATTTTTTGAGTCCCATAAAAATAAACACCAAAATAGCAAATTTTTCACCAGGTCTGATGTTTGGGCAAAATTATACAACTTTTCATGCATGTTCAGGGGGTGAAATTAAGGCTCAAAGTGCAGAATTTGACATCTCTCGAGCAAAAACAATAGGCCCTTTCCCCGTTCGGGGCTCGGGCCTAAAAAGGTCTTTTTAACGTCTCGAGCAAAAACAATATAGGTTTCAATGGCACGTGATACATCATTTTAAAGTGTTTGAGTTTACGCACGCAACCGTCACGTTTTGGTGAGTGACGGACGCTGACGCGTCCGTCACTCACCGCCACCATTTGTTTTCACCATTGTGAAAGCAATAGGCCCTTACCCCGTTCGGGGCTCGGGCCTAATAAGAAATAACTCATTAATGGCCTGTCAATCAGATTGTACTGAAGTCTGGGGCAGACTGAGACTGATTCAAAGATCCAATATCTAAATATGTAGTTTAGACTTTGTCTCAACCTGAGGTGATTTTTAAACAACAAAACGTCAGCAGTCCCACAATGCATCTGTCTCTGCTGGTCCACAATGCATCTGTCTCTGCTGGTCCACAATGCATCTGCATCTGTCTCTGCTGGTCCACAATGCATCTGCATCTGTCTCTGCTGGTCCACAATGCATCTGTCTCTGCTGGTCCACAATGCATCTGTCTCTGCTGGTCCACAATGCATCTGTCTCTGCTGGTCCACAATGCATCTGCATCTGTCTCTGCTGGTCCACAATGCATCTGCATCTGTCTCTGCTGGTCCACAATGCATCTGTCTCTGCTGGTCCACAATGCATCTGTCTCTGCTGGTCCAGAGGAGACGCTTTATAGTTTAATGAGAGACAAGTGAAAGCACTTGTCTCTCATTAAACTATAAAGCGTCTCGTGAACATGAGACTATAAAGTCTCATGTTCACGGTGAAAGAGATTCTATGGTCTGCCTGAACTCTCTGCTTCTCTCTCCGAGGCTCTGGACTAAACCCTCTCCTCTCTCCTTCTCTTCTTCTCTCTCTCCTTCTCTTCTTCTCTCTCTCCTTCTCTTCTTCTCTCTCTTCTTCTTCTTCTCCTCTGAGGCTCCGAACTAAACTCAGTGATAATGTTTGTTTCTTGCCGTCAGCAAAACTCCGCCCCAAAATCACAAGCCATTCACCAGAGGAGCTCCCATACTTTCAATGTTCCCAGCTGGTCCAATCACAGCGCAGCCCCCTGTCAAGTTCCCAGCCGTGCGTCCAATGAGGCGCCTCCCCTCGGTGTCACGTGATCCCTGTGCGCCTCCTGTCTGTCAGCGCCCATATAAAGAGCAGCACAGGAAATGTGGAGCAGCTCAATAACTTCCAACGTCCAGACTCCAGCGCGGAGGGTGGGATGGGAGAGAGACCGGGGGAGAGGGCTGGGGGAGAGGGCTGGGGGAGAGGGCTGGGGGAGAGGGCTGGGGGAGAGGGCTGGGGGAGAGGGCTGGGGGAGAGAGACGGGGGAGAGGGCTGGGGGAGAGGAGCAGAGACGGGGGGGGGGTGTATTTGCAAAGTCCTGGCTGAGTTCCAACTGGAGGCAGAGAGTGTGCCGAGTCAGAGGAGATCGTCCCGTTTCTTCCTGGACCGCGTCTGTGGAGCGTCTGTGGAGCGTCTGTGGAGCGTCTGCGGAGCGTCTGTGGAGCGTCTGTGGAGCGTCTGTGGAGCGTCTGTGGAGCGTCTGTGGCGGGCCCCGGTCGCGGTGAGTTTGATGGAAAAGCACATTCTTAGTTTTTTGTCCACACATGTTTATGAAGGAGCTCTGAGGAGAGAGAACTCACTGTCTGAACAAGAGAGTCTGGACACACTGTCTGTGGGAATGTGGACCGAGAGTGGGAATGTGGGCCGCGGGAGCTGAGAGTGGGTCTGTCTGTGGGAATGTGGACCGAGAGTGGGTCTGTCTGTGGGAATGTGGACCGAGAGCGGGTCTGTCTGTGGGAATGTGGACCGAGAGCGGGTCTGTCTGTGGGAATGTGGACCGAGAGCGGGTCTGTCTGTGGGAATGTGGACCGAGAGTGGGTCTGTCTGTGGGAATGTGGACCGAGAGTGGGTCTGTCTGTGGGAATGTGGACCGAGAGTGGGTCTGTCTGTGGGAATGTGGACCGAGAGTGGGTCTGTCTGTGGGAATGTGGACCGAGAGTGGGTCTGTCTGTGGGAATGTGGACCGAGAGTGGGTCTGTCTGTGGGAATGTGGACCGAGAGTGGGTCTGTCTGTGGGAATGTGGACCGAGAGTGGGTCTGTCTGTGGGAATGTGGACCGAGAGTGGGTCTGTCTGTGGGAATGTGGACCGAGAGTGGGTCTGTCTGTGGGAATGTGGACCGAGAGCGGGTCTGTCTGTGGGAATGTGGACCGAGAGTGGGTCTGTCTGTGGGAATGTGGACCGAGAGTGGGTCTGTCTGTGGGAATGTGGACCGAGAGTGGGTCTGTCTGTGGGAATGTGGACCGAGAGTGGGTCTGTCTGTGGGTCTGAGAGTGGGTCTGAGAGTGGGTCTGAGAGTGGGTCTGAGAGTGGGTCTGTCTGTGGGTCTGAGAGTGGGTCTGAGAGTGGGTCTGAGAGTGGGTCTGTCTGTGGGTCTGAGAGTGGGTCTGAGAGTGGGTCTGAGTGGGAGCCGGCCACACTGAGTGACTGTGGATCTGGTCCAGACCCAGACTAAGGTCCCAGACAGGTCAGTTCAGCTGTTAGAGGCCGGGAGGACCGGGGCTAGGTCGGCCAGCTGCTCCGGGGGGGGGCAGGGGGCTCCCCGCTCTGTGGAGGCGACGGGGCTGCGTTCCTGGGGTTAAGAAAAGTCTGCATCTTTCTCAAAGTACCTGTGTTAAAACTTTAGCACAGGGACGACTGGGTCCAGACGAAAGAGGAAGCAAAAGTTTGGTTTCTATTCTCCTTTCTTTATAAAAGCTGCCGTGGGGATCCGAGTGTGTGCGTCTGTGTGTGTGTGTGTGTGTGTGTGTCTACGTGTGTGCGTGTACGTGTGTGTGTGCGTCTGTGTGTGTGTGTGTGTGTGTGTGTCTACGTGTGTGCGTGTACGTACGTGTGTGTGTACGTGTGTGTACGTGTGTGTGTGTACGTGTGTGTGTGTACGTGTGTGTGTGTGTGTGTGCGTGTGTGCGTGTACGTGTGTGCGTGTACGTACGTGTGTGTACGTGTGTGTATGTGTGTGTACGTGTGTGTGTGTGTGTACGTGTGTGTGTGTACGTGTGTGTGTGTGTGTACGTGTGTGTGTGTGTGTGTGTGTGTACGTGTGTGTGTGTGTGTGTGTGTGTGTACGTGTGTGTGTACGTGTGTACATCCTTGTTCTGCCTTTTGTCCCAAAGCTCTTAATCCACTGCAAAAAGCTGAGTGTGTTTCTGTGTGTGTTGTGTGTGTTTGTGTGTTTGTGTGTGTGTGTTTGTGTGTGTGCGTGAGGGACTAGCAACAAACGGAACACGGGCCTGGGATCACAGATGTACGCTACTGCTGTGGAAGGCAACCTCCACCCCCCCTCCCTCCCTCCCCCTCTCACCCTCCCTCTCACCCACTCCCCCTCCCTCCCTCCCTCCCCCTCCCTCCCTCACCCTCCCTGTGTCTATGTGAGAGAGTGTGTGTCTGTGTCTGTGTGTGTGTGTGTGTGAGAGAGTGTGTGTCTGTTTCTGTGTGTGTGTGTCTGTGTCTATGTGAGAGAGTGTGTGTCTGTGTCTGTGTGTGTGTGTGTGAGAGAGTGTGTGTCTGTCTCTGTGTGTGTGTGTCTGTGTCTGTCTCTGTGTGAGTCTGTCTCTGTGTGTGTGTGTGTGTGGTGAGAAATGCGGTACATGTTGGGGCTCGTCAGCGGCTGCAGCTCACACACTTCATAACCTCAGATCAAACTGGACTCAGCAGAACCTCTGGGTCCGACACGTGACGACACACAGGTTGTGTGTCGTCACAGTGTACACAACCTCTACACAACCACTCCACAACCTCTACACAACCACTCCACACCCGAGCAGAGAATTGATCAATGAACTCCGTTAGCCTCAGTGTGTTTTGTGATGATTCATGAAAGACAGAGGAACTTGTGGAGGATCAGCTTCAGAGGCAGTGGACTCAGTGTTGTGTAAGTGGCATCATTCCTCCTCCTCCTCCTCCTCCTCCTCCTCCTCCTCCTCCTCCTCCTCCTCCTCCTCCTCAGCGTGGCCTCAGTTCTCCTCTGGACTTTGGCTTTGTGGCTGATCTATAAGCTGCAGGTCTGTGTCCTCACTCTGCACTGCCCCAGGGTCTGAATAGAACTGCTCCTCCTGCTGCTACTCCTGCTGCTACTCCTGCTGCTACTCCTGCTGCTACTCCTGCTGCTACTCCTGCTGCTACTTCTGCTCCTCCTGCTCCTCCT